GTTGAATTAGCTTAAGAAATAACAGCGAGATAAAAGAAAAAAACGTCTCTTTGATCAGCTAGATCCCTGCGCATTTTGCATTCTTCAATTTACGCTCCAAAAAATTCAACTGGCGTGAAAACTTTGGGAGCCCATATCAGTAGTGTGACCTTCCCAGAATTTTTACCTAGGTAAAACAAAACCCGAGATGAATTTACCTAGGCAGATTTTTGATGAATTTGCCCTAGGTAAATCGGTTTTACATAGGTAAAAGTCTGTAGTGTGACCACAGCTAATATTTTAAAAATGCAAAATATACTGCCGATTGAAAAAAAAAACCGACTTGATCAATCACAAAGGTTATTTTCCGAAAAGGTACTGTACAAAACAAATTGCCTAATCTGTAAACTGAACTAAACTCCACTCCCGCAAAAAAAGTATCACTAAAAGTGTAATGCATTAATGAAGGCTACTTTCCGTATGTTTTATTCGTCTTTCTTTTTAATTTTCTCCTACCAAAATAGTTTCCAAAACATATCCTCAGTGATATTTTAGAACGTCTGTAAAGCAATCTAAAACTTGCCTCATAAAATTGAAACGTGAAGGGCAGAATTCGGAATCGAAAATATATGATATCCGAATCATTTGGACAGCTCCCGTCAATCTGCCGTAACCAAAGCTTAAGAAGCTCGCTTTAGTACAAAGATGTTTAATTATTACTAATTAGAAAAAAAAAAACCTGCTTCTTAAGAAGCCTTTATAAACATTAATGTCTACATCTGATCACCACTTTTCATTCGTTGATAGATGGAAGCTTTGCGTAAAATTGTGAAAATGGAACGAAGGCCAGACAAATGCCCGCTTTTTCTCTGCGTTTCTTTCGCTTCTTGTTCGCTGTTTGCGCTCATCTACACTGACCGAGAGTCTGACACTGTATTGTGAGGCTTTTCAAGACCAGGCTCCTTTATAGGCCGAAATTTTAATTTTTTTTATATTTATTTTGTCTTATTTTCTCCCTTTTTTTATCTAAGGAAATTCCGTCGTTTTTTCTCAAAAATTAAAAGTTGTCCAAACACCTTTACTGTATATACGTGCTTTGCTCCTTGATGGTGGGTACCAAACTATCATAAGATTTATAATAGACAAAAACGTTCTTTAGTAACGCAATTTATTTGTCCAAATTAGTGACATTTTTGGTTGTTGTCACTCTCCGCCGCAATTTTTTAAACCAATTTTTTTTCTATCCGCCTTTTACTGTCCGCATTTCTCCATCCGCATCCGCCATCCGCAGGTATCCGGTCCGCGTTTTACAGACACCCGTTAGATTATGATGAAGTTAAGTCAGGGTGATTTTCGAATGAATCGGTTTTGTTTTGGCTGGAATGTGCTTAAGTGACCTCATTAGTTTCTGGAAAACAGCTACTCTAAAATAGGGGGAATTGGGGAATTTAGTCTAGTATAGGGTAGAAAAAATTCAATTGAACTAGCTCTGGTATAGGTTAAGGGTTCTAGGGTCCCAGTGGCACATACATGTACCTACCCAAAAATTCCTAAAGTACCCCCGGCCCTGGGAAAAAGTGAAATATACATACAAATAACATTTCGCAAATTTGTGGATAAAAATATTTCTTAAGATAACCACAGATTTAAGGTAGATCATGATGAAATGATAGTCAGGGTGATTTTTGACTGAATCGATTTAAAGGATTTAAAAACAATGGAATGCTTTTGGCCCACTTGCTGTGTTACATCATAAGGGCGGCCACATGAGAAAATGTGTGGCATAAACTTTAAAAAACAGCATGGTCATAACTGCTTCTCTTGTTGAAACCTTCCAAAAAATTCCCACTACAAAAATCTGATCAAAACAGATTTTCAAAGGAAATAACACTGCTGATTGATAGTGCAGGTAGGAATCATTTTGAAACACTGGTGATGTTTATGAACTATGAGAAATTAAGGCATCTCACAAACCAAAGTGACATACTACGTACAAATATCATTTATGCAAATTTGTGGATAAAAATAATTCTTGAGGTACAAATGCATAACCACAGAGCGATTTTTGAATGAATGGGTAAGGATTTAAAAACAATGGAATGCTTTTAGCCAGCTTGCTATTATATCATAAGGGCGGCCACAATTAAGAAAATGCGTGGCATAAACTTTGAAAACACAGCCTGGTCATATTGACTGCATCTTCTGTTGAAACCTCCCCCAAAAAATTCCCACCACAAAAATCTGATCAAAACAGATTTTAAAAGCAAATAACACTGATAACTGATGCTGCAGGTACAAATCATTTTGTAAAACTGATGATATTTATGAACTACAGCTGTATTCTAGAAAATAGTTATACAGGTAAATTTAGCCTTGTGTAGGGTGGAAAAAATTCAGTTGAACTAGCTCTGGTATAGGGTAAGGGCGGGTTCTAGGATCCCAGCGGCACATACATGTACCCAAAAATTTCTAAAGTACCCCCCGGGACAAAGTAAAATATACATGCAAATAACATTTTGCAAATTTGTAGATAAAAATAAGAGATTACCAGAGATTTAAGTTAGATCATGACGAAAATACATTGTAATAGTCAGGATGATTTTTGAATGAATGGGTAAGGATTTAAAAACAATGGAATGCTTTTAGCCAGCTTGCTGTTATATAATAAGAGCGGCCACATAAGGAAAAACGTGGCATAAATTTTGAAAACACAGCCTGGTCATAACTGCATCTTCTGTTGAAACCTTCCCCAAAAAATTCCCTCTACAAAAATCTGATCAAAACAGATGTTAAATGCAAATAACACTGATGACTGATGGTGCAGACTGGCAAGAGTCATTTTGTAACACTGATGATATTTATGAACTAAATTTGCAAATTTGTAGATAAAAATAAGAGATTACCACAGATTTAAGTTAGATCATGACGAAAATACATTGTAATAGTCAGGGTGATTTTTGAATGAATGGGTAAGAATTTAAAAACAATGGAATGCTTTTAGCCAGCTTGCTGTAATACCATAAGGGCGGCCACATAATGAAATGTGTAGCATAAGCTTTGAAAACACAGCCTGGTCATAACTGCATCCTCTGTTGAAACCTTCCCCAAAAAATTCCCTCTACAAAAATCTGATCAAAACAGATGTTAAGAGCAAATAACACTGATGATTGATGGTGCAGGTAAGAATCATTTTGTAACACACATGATGTTTATGAACTAGGCTGTATTCTAGAAAATAGGTATCTCACATACATATTTCCCAGGGAGGGGGGCGGGGGTACTGCAATATATGCTATATATGTACATCTATCTGCCACTGTAAAGGGTATGGTTTTCAAGCAGCTAGCTTACTCTAGGATAGGGTATATAAATCAGAGAGTTTCGGTCTTACTTTAAAATCAGGTATCATTTTCCAGGACCCTGATCAATTGTTTAAAGATTTTAGACTACACAAGAGAGACCATCAATTTTCAATTAAAAATAAATTATGCAAATTTGTGAGTAAGAATAATTATTGAAAAACAATGGAATGTTTTTTGCCAGCTTGCTGTTATGTCATAAGGGCAGCCACATAAAAGACAATGCGTGGCATAAACTTTGAAAAAACAGCCTGGTCATAACTGCATCTCCTGTTGAAACCTCCCATAAAACAAAAATGTACAAAAATCTGATCAGAAAAGATTTTAAAAGCAAATAGCAAATGTTTGAGACGTTGGTTGTGGTTTTCACTGTAACAGGGTAATGCGAGGCTGAGACAATAGATATATAGTTGATAGCAATATATATTTCCCCTACTCATATTCCCCTCATCATAATGCTCTTATTTCCCTTGTCATATTTCCCTGCTGATATTCCCCTCATCGTGTTTAACCGTCCCAGTAAAACAACACAAGTCAGAATTTTGAATTTCGATTTAATAAACTTACGAATTTTCCTTGTCGGTAGTTGTCACAGCGCAGTGTTACCCTTACATGACGTATTATTGGTCTCAGTCTTAAAATGTCCATGCATCTGCATTGATTTGATTTTCTCTTCTTTTTGCCCAAAGTTAGACCAATAGCTATCTAATGTGCAACTCATGTCCGCAGTACGCGTACCTATATCGCGCATTCACTAAACAAATGCGGCTATATGGTCACCCCGCCTAACATGTAAACGTGATGACATTAAAATGAGAGATTATATGGACGGGCGGGTTACCCCACCTTAGCGGGTTACCTTACCTACCTGGGGTTCCCCACCTCTATGTAAACAGGACCTTAGGTTCGACCAGATCTCACCGAGATCTCGCAAAATCTCGCAGAGTTCTTGGCGAGATCTCCTTTATCTCGCCCAAAAGTCTTTCATCTCGGCGAGATCTCATCGCGATCTCAGAGAAATTACAAATCTCACCGAGATCATCTTTCATCGCGCGCGAGTCTCGGCGAGATCTCGTCAGTATCTCGCCCGAGATCGCTTTCATCTCGTGCCGATCTCAGAGACATCACAAATCTCGCCGAGTTCTTGACGAGATCTCGGCGAGATCTCATTTATCTCGCCGCGACTTTAGAGACATTACAAGTGTAGCCGAGTTCTCGTCGGGATTTCGTTAATCTCGACGAGATCACTTTCCTCTTGGCGAGATCTCGTCGCGATCTCAGAGACATTAGAAATCTCGCCGAGATCTCGTCGAGATTAAAGCGATCTCGACGGGATCTCTGTCATCTTGGCGAGATCTCGCGTAGATCTCGGCGAGATCTCCCTTATCTCGCCTAGATCTAGGCGAGAGCTCGTTTATCTCGCCGAGATCTCTGCGACAATACAAATCTGGGCGAGATCTCGGTTAGATACTACGCCGGTAAACCCATAGAAAGTGCGGTCTATTGCTTTTATAAAATAACTAGTAAGTTTTCTACGAGTTTACCGGCACAATAGACCATAGGTTTTTAACCAGTCAGAACGCGGGTACCGTTCTTTAGTCATTTTATCATGAAATAGTAGTAAACTATTTCCGCAATAGTTGAAGCCATTTCTTATTGTTTAAATGCAGAGATTTGTCGCAAAACAATCTAGATGAGGTTCCTTCCTGTGTGCTGAATAAAAGTGCAAGTATTTCTAATCTGTAAGTACTCTAACATTTTTGTTAGAAGTCCACGTGAGAATAGTGAAACATGCTTTCTGAATAGGTGTCTATTTCATTTTAGTTAGATTCAGTTAGATTGCTTTTTAGTATTTGTCTAGCCGTAGACAGTTTCGACTTCTATTTATTGTTACCTTGTACGTAATTTTATGTTTATTCAAAACCTTCAATAAAGATCTTTATTATTAAATTAATAATTATTTTTATGATTGAAATTAGTGATGGGACAGCAAAAGAAACATCACGTTAATTTCGAACTCTTCCTTTACCTTTGAGTCTGTGAGACAGTAGTGAAGCATTGTGAATTCATTGCTGTCTCCTCCCGCAAATAATCTTACGAGTGCTTATTTAGGCAGAATTTCAGTCTTTTCCAAAGTGACCAACACGTATTATGTTATTGCTACGAAATCAGACATAACCTGTTTTTGCTTTAATCTAGGTCACTTTCAGGAAACAAAATTAACAAGATAGAAGAAGGATCCTTTCCAGAACTACCCCAGCTTTTGTACCTGTAAGTGTTTGTTTGAACAAAAAGACTAATCGTGATTTTTTGTTTCTTTATATAACGTATTCTATCCTAACTTTCTATGTGAACCTTTCAATGTTCGCAAGTACCTGGTTCTTTCTAAAATCCGATAAATACAGTTAACAAATAATGTTTGATTATTTTCAGAGATCTTTGCTACAACAGACTGCTGCAATGGAGAGGGGACATCTCCACCGTCCTTCCCTCGCTTGAATCTGTAAACTTCACTGGGAACCAGTTCTTCCTCCCCGACAAAAATCTTCTCAGACTTGACAGCCTTCTACACATATACGGTATCGTATGGAGCACTGCATGCGGCGAATGTTATTTAATCAGAACCGAATTACTAAAAAGCTTTAATGACAGTGAATCACCGTGCATATTAGACGATGAGTACTATTCATTCGCGGACGAGATCAAATATGGAAAGTCATTATTATTCGTGAGAGAGGGCTTCTCTCCTCAGTGCTTATGTGAACATAAAGACTGTGACATGACAGAAATGGACATCCCTTATAATATGGCACTCAACACACTTCCGAGGAAGCTCTTTTACGTCGAGTACGTCTTAGGTAGCACTGCAGTGGTTTTGAATTTTGTCGTGGTTTTCATTACGTTAGGATCCCAGTCAATGCGTCAGAGTACGTCGTTCGTTTTAATTGGCAATATTGGATTGTGCGATATCTTGATGGGTATATACTCGATCCTAATTGGCCGCTTTACCGTATACGAATTTATAGTAAATGAGAGCCACTATCCCGATACTGACACCTTCGTGAACAAGTACTGCACTATCATGGGTGTTATCTTCACTGGGGCCCAAATAACTTCTGTGTCAACGTCGTTCTTAGCTACTCTTGAGCGTTATCTATACATAGTTCATTGCATGAATCCGCAAGCAAGGTTAAGGAAAACAACTGCATTGTGGTGCTTGGTAGCAATTTGGTCCGCCGCGATTGCCTTCTCACTATTGCCAGTTTTTCAAGTTGGTGGTTTGAGATACCATGGAGAGTTTACTTGTATGATGTCATTTATAAACGGACCTGACGCCACCGACACTTCCATGACAGGGTTTGCTGTAGCCTCATTGCTAGTCCTTTTCTACCTCGTCAGTTTTGCTATGTACTTTCACATTTTCTTGCACGTCAGGAAAGCGGGAATTAGTGCTGGCGTGAAAAGAAAAGCTTCCTTGGCCAAGAACATTTTGAAGATGGTGCTAACTAACTTTCTTTTTTTCGATATTCCAATGGTTTGCACGTTACTTTTTGTATATAAAGAAAAGGACCTTATGGAGGCGTTTAACGTTGATTCATTGACAAAACTGCGGATATATTTTATCATGTTGTCTTGGCTCCCTGTGGTATTTCTAAGTGTCAACTCGTGCTTAAACCCTTTCTTGTGCGCTTTTAGACATCCCAAATTCCGGGGGGAGTTGCATGCTTTTATTAACAGGTGCAAGTGCAACTGCTTTAAAACATCGCGCAATGAACTTTTTGAGGCTTGGACGCTTACGGTAAACAAAAGGGTAGATCTTAATTGCACAGACGCCATTGTCAGGGAGGAAAATTTTATAGACAGATATAGGTCATTGGGTACTTTGACTTCCAAACTTTAATTTCTATCATTTTTTATCAGAAAAAGGTTTTTTGTTTTATTTTTTAAGGACACGGTACCTAAAGGGAAAATATCAACTGCATGCTCCCGTCAGATTAACAAAGTAAACGACCATGGTTATTGACCCGGTTCTTCAAAAATCCTGTGAAAAAACCCTTACAAAGAATATTTTATGCGATTTTTATGTAAGTTTAAGATTACAATTTTGTTGTTTTAAATCAGTAAAGTAAGAAATAAAATTGTCAGTTCTGGAAACAAGTTAGTCGAACTAAACACGGCACTTGCCACAAAACCTTCATGTAAGTAGTTTGCATAGTAACTAGTACAGCGGCGTGCACAGTGAAAACCGCAAAGATAGCACTGACAGGGCAATATCTTTTGCGAGACCTTTCAGGCACATACAAATTATTTATTCTTCAACGTTCGTTTGATTGACAAGAATGTAACAACTAAAACATTCAGGCATCTTTACACTGTAAGGGATGAATTTATGACTGGTTAAAATCCCTGCGTGAAGGTTTTTTGCTCACACGGTAAAACACTAACCCGTGCGAAGATTTAGAGGCCAAACCGTTCAAAAATTTGAACACTTAAATCGCGGTGCCGTCATAATTACACCCTGTTCGGTCGAAAATTCAAATTCAAAAGGCATCCATATTTTTGTACGGCAAAGATCGTGAATACATGAATGCGTGAGACTCAGTTGGAAGACGACGCTATTTTGGATTTGCTCATGATCAAGTACGTAGTGCTCTGCACTTGGTCAGATAGTCTGAAATAAAAGTTGAATATCAACTCTGTTCGGCAGTTCCGTGTGGACAGGGCAAAATCTTTAAAGGTTCCATGTCAGCTAAAATGTCCGATCCAACTTTTCAGCTGCTCTAAGATCGGTAAATGATTTTTTTTTAACAAAGCTGATCCGCAGTGAAAAGGTAGGCATTCTGCTTTTTAGCGTTCTTTTTAAAAAAAGTTACATTGAAAATTCAGTTGTTCTTTGGAATAGCTCCTCTCGACTCACACAAAACAAGTTTTTTACCGCTCGACGTATGCTTCCCATTTTCCAGTAGTACATCAAGGGGTTTACACTTGCGTTTATCAAAGCTACAGTTTCTGTGATTTCCCATAAGATGTTTTGGCTGATGTCGAAATCCTTGGTAAGATTAAAACGAATGGTTGCATAGGTACACGGAGCGTAGAACACGAAAAATAGAATCACGACCTGTAGTATGACAGCCGCAGACTTCCTACTGCGTGAAAACGTTTTTGCGGCCTGCAACTTGCTTTGATCCATTATCACAGCCTGGTGCCTTCGCAAAATACGGAAAATTATCGCACAAGCCACAGTTAATGCAACACCAACTACTACTATTATTATGATGCCAACGAGGGATAATATGTAGATGTCTATTAGCCCCAGTGGCCAGGCACATACAATCAAGCCCCATAAGAACCACATTGCTATGGCAATCGGTATTACTCGTGGGATGGTGACAAGTTCTTTATATCGTAAATGAACATATAAGGCGATTAAACGCTCTAGACTGATGGCTAATAGAGTTAGCATCGAAACAATTGCCGTATATATGACCAATCCTTCTTTAGCGAACAATAAAGGGCATACAAAGTCACCTTGGAGAAGTCGAGCTTTAAAAGCCACAAATATTGGATGAACCACAACGCCGACGGCCAGATCGGTAATGGCTAGGGAGCAAAGGAGAACATTTGATGGGTTGTGAAGAGATGGTGTTCGGATTATTGCCATTATAACCGGCACGTTTTGCAGCGTGGCCGTGAAGCAAAGTATACAATTTAAAATCATGACCGCATAATTTGCGCTAAACATCTGTACACGTCTGTATTGACTGTCTTTGAAGAAAGCGCAGTCAGCAGTGTTATTTTCCATTATACCATCCGTTATCGACAAGTCAAGAACGATCCGGCCATAAGCTGATTATTAACAGAAGCGTCTTTAACTGCTGTAATAATGTTTGTTTTTAACAAGAACTCGAATCCGTTCAATTAACTGATCTGAAATAAATGAAAGATATGTTTGTTTCAGAAAAGACTTTCAATCCAAATAATGAAAATAATTAAAAGTCCAGGTTTCAAATAAGAGATAAGTGCTTAGAATTAATTCCTTTAAGGGTCCTTACTTTAACTGGATTAGTGCCGAGTATTGATCTCAAACCAAGACAAATTTTGTGCGTCCACGATGACGTTTGAATCTTTTAGTCTGGCTCGCAGCTAGCTACTACTTCACTGTTCCCATTTCGCTTCTGTTGTTTTAATAACGGCTTTACTCAAACAACAGAGACTATTTCATTACCAGAGGAAACAACTAACACAACATTGCACGAGCCCCATTTCGTTTTTAATTTTCTCGCTCCGAGAGGTGTTTGCCTACAGCCTCTCAAGGAGGGAAGCAACTTTCAAAAATTAATTATTTTTTCTTTTTCGTTAAGACGTTATGCCTTATTTGTTTGATTTTAAAAGTACACCTTTAGAAGCAATACCTAGAATGAATCAGTAGTAGCCAATTTCCTCGGATACACTTTTCACTGGCATAATCTCAACTAAGAAAAATAGGCAACATTCGTACGAGTCATTCCCGATATCTAAACTTTAACAACATCTAGGGGTTTTCTAGGTGTGTTTGGTCACAAAAACGTTTCGGTATAACTAGTTGTTCATCATTTTTCAGCGCTGAAGATGAACGGAACAGAACTCTTAAATCTAGCTAACGTTACTTAGATACATGTATAATAAATCATAACATTACCACTTTTGTCTCTTGAATGCAAACTTTGCGTTCCTTTTTCGCGCAGAAAACCAAAGGACAAAGGAAAAACAAAACTCGATCTTCTTCGACGATACGGTGGAAAAGATATCCAGTAACATGTTTAAAGAAAATGGTGTCAAACCTTTTTCGCAATTTTTGTTATTAAAATATTGGTTACGCACAAAATCAGTTTACCAACTGCTGGCATATTTGCAACATGAGCTTTAATACCTGGATTCTGAATTTAATTACGCTGTTTTATTCCACCTGCTACAGTGTTAGTATAAAAAAATGCCAAGGAATTAAGAACCAATGGTTGGAAAGCACCGTCGGCCAAACCCGGGGATACTTTTCTGCTTCTGTGTTTTGTTGAATTTCCCTCTGTAGTGGTTCTTCAATTTGTACAGTGTCACAAACAAAAGCGCCGAAACCTGTAATGTACGAATTGATCCAAGGGAAAAACGAAGAAGTTCTAACAGTGTATTCATTTTAAATAAAATTTATTTTTTACTTCTCTCTTTTGCTAACTGATTTATAGTTACTCTTAAGAACATGAAGCAGGTAGGAGAAATGTTTGTTAAGCAACAGTTATTTGTTTAGCGACTGTTTCGCAAAATTAACCGGACACATGCAAAAGAACTTGCGTCACTGTCCAACGTCTTATTGCGACATTATTCCGCCGAGGGATAAATCAAGAAATACCACTTGGTAACAAGGCCTTTTAAGGGACATCAATCAAAGACGGTCTTCCTTAAATGTACTCAAAACACAACAATGACCGCCTACTCTTTTAATCAAAATCAGTTTGTCGCCAATTTTAATGTACTAAGTACTCCTCTACTCCTTCGTACTTTACAAGCTAACTCTACTTATATATTAAGTATATCTAGCTTGGTTTCCATAACAACATCAACAAGCTCACCAATATTTTTCGAAAAACATGTTCCTCTTACGCATGGTAGATATTGTCGTCATGGCAAACAACGAATTTGAAATAGCCATGAAGATTTCTCCAAAAAACAGTGGTTATACGTACATCTTAAGTATGAAACAACTAATTTGCTGTTGTTGTTCTTTGTAACATCAATTTCAACTCGACAGTTAGTTTAAGTTTAAGTTAGTTTTAGTTTAAGTTTATAGCGCGATAAAAGCTCAAAGCAGCGCACGTCAACTTTTACGCGAGAATTTTTCTACCCTTTTCAAAAGTCTTAAGATCAGTCATTCCTTGGTCCTCTCCTTTTTGCAAGATGACGGCTGAGTCAAATTTCCTACTTCTCTGGGGGCTTTAATGATGTCAAAATCCTCACCCGTGTGCGTGTCACCAAGTCAAATTCTCGAGGTTTGCACACACCCCACCTCCCCCCTCCTGGGGCAAACCATTGATAGGTGTATAACAATGTCCCAATAACACATTAACAACCGAATATAAGGTAGGAGAAACACAGACTACTATTTAACAATCAGTGGTTTATTTCGTTTAAATCATACCTTCTCTTTCACACACTTGGCAGGCATTTCTATTGCCTACCAACATTTCTAATATGTGTATCGTACAATCCATTTTAAGTCGACAAAAGCATTAGCTTGTCGTCAGTGAGGCTCAGCATCACCTGCATCACACAAATGACACTGATCTGTTTTTCCGCAGTAACCACATGTACTAAAAGAATGTTGTCTCTCTTCGTAGACGATCGTTGCAAGGTGAGGTCTCCAACGATCAAGTCAAATGGCGTACAAAAACCGTATAGTCATGTTTTTTCCCTCCCCAACCCAAGCTAAAGCAAAGACAAAAATGTCCCTTGTACGATGCCCAGTCCACTGATCAAGGATAGCTGTAGTGAGATGACGTAAGAGAGATTTCTGGCCTAAGTTGTTGGATAACTCTACCCACCAAATAAATCACTATCCGATGGAACATACTTTAGAAAGACCAACTACGTTATCCCTGGATAGATTTTTATTTAAAGAATAGCGTTATCCACCTTTCGAACAACTGGGCCCTAGTTAAGTCAGACAGAAAAATAAATATTACATAATATCAATAAAACGTAGAAAAAATAAAACACTTGTTATTCGCTTTATTCTTGAAAATACTGCATCTTTGGGCTTTTCAAATTTTGTGACGATCAAGCTACGAGCAGGAAAAAAAAGAAAAGAAAGGAAAATAGAGAAAAAAAAGGGAAAACATTACGCCACCTCGGTATACAGCATTGGTAGTTGCATTAAGTTCCATAAATAATGATGGGAATGCATTGTACTTAAAGCGGGAAAGTGGCACAAGTATAACACCCGGAAAGTCTAAATGGAACATCAAAAGAAGTAAATGTATGAGAGAATTCCAGCCTCAGATGATCAAAACCAAGTCTCAGTGCCATGGGACAAGGAGGCTGGTTCATAATTTCGGTGCACGTACATGTACATTTATTAACGCTTCGTGCCACTTTCCACTGTTAGAACTCTGACTTACATTGCTGGATTGATACCACCGTATTTTAGCAATAGTGAAAAAATGAAACTGGTGATAGTGCTGTATGACTGTTGAATATACTTATAATTCTACGTTTAAATTACATGATGGTAAAACAACAGCACTGAAATAATGAGGCGAAAATATCTAAGATCTCTTCACCTACAGGATGCGTTCCTAACTGGTCGTATCCCCGAAGTACGATATCACAAGTACTACTAAAGACACATCAGTAGCGCGATTTGAAGCAACTGGAAAGCTGCATTCAAATAACTACTTATGCCAGAGGGGTTGAAGATGTTACGTTGCAACTATGAGTGGACAAGTATTTCACAGTTTATTCAGGAATACAGCCAATCGAACGCGTCCCACATTTTAACCCTTTCATTTCCAAGTTTGCTAACACTAAAAACTCTACGAAATTTCATTAATCACAATACATGTATTAATTAGAGAACAACTAGCAACATAAGTAGGTACAACGCTAAAAAAGAGTTGTCTGAAAGGTAACATCATGGGATTTCGGTCATAGACTTTAACTTGAAATTAAATCAAATGCCCTATAATTGGCTTTGAAAATAAAAGGATTAAAATATTCATTCTTGCGTTGAAAGTCTAGTTCAGTGATCATTTAATTTCCGTCAGTCAGTAAAGTGTTAAGACGGAACAAAGCGATTTTGTGTGACTTCAGTCCTATTAATGGGAATAATATCAAAGGGATTTTTTTTGGTTCCAATCCGGTAGCTTTCTCAAGAGTTCGCCGCACTATACCATGTTTGCATCCGTTCGTTAACCGATCAAATTATGTCCTTATTTCCCTTGTTAATATCATGGTTGTGTGAAACAATTCCGAGGTCAAACGAAAATCTCTTTTCATGATTGTTTACTCATGTTTTATACTGTAACAAAAAAAGAACTAAACCAAACCAAACCAAAAGAAAAAAAAAGAAATTAACAACGAAACAAATAATTAGAACAAACGGACTACGTTTACTAATTCTAATAGTACATTTGTACTCTTATTTCAGATATTTCCTTTGCTGACCTGTAGCTCAGTTTGCCTGAGCATGAAAGAAAATTACACCAACGATAAGAAAACTGTAAATTAACTGTTCTGTTTTTTTTTTCTTATCCTTCGGAATTCACTTCCTTTCGATAGGAAATGAACTAAGAGCAATTACAACCCAGAATTCAATCTTCACTTACATGTCCAATTGAATCACGTTCTACTTTTCTCTACCTCTTCCTGCCCCTTGAACTAGACAATAATGAGGAAGAGAATATCTGGCAGAAAATCCAACAAGATTTTCTGAGCGTTATTTTACTGCAGTGGAAACGTCCTGGACCTTTCCCCGCCCCAGCACTTTACCTGGGGCCACCCTCCTTTTGCTATGAGCACCACACCTCTTAGCTCCAGAAGTCAGTCACGCATCGAAGTTTCCACGGCGGTTCCTTAAGCCTTTTTAATAAAGGCTTCATTAATAGAGAAGAGAAGTGATGACGTCACAAAAACTAACTAATGGATCGTCAATGTCACGATGCAAGCTACTTTAGAGGGATTTGTATGGAGTCATAACAGTACCTGTATCTCCCTACCGAACGAGCTTATTTCTGGCCAAAGGGTGTTTTCATCATTTTCCTTAAATGCCAACCAATCCCATGATTTCAAAAATTGGAATTTTTGAGTCGTCACACTTCACTTCTCTATAAAGTTGTTATCTTTTTTAGCCTTTTATTTACCGATTTGTTTTTCTTTTTTTGTTTGTTTGTTTGTTTTTTCCTGAAACAAATCTGCAAACTTACTGTTATGCAGATAATTATAATAGGTCTAATACAAATATTACATTAAAGCAATCACTTTCAACTGGTTGTTTCGAACTTATATTAGTGGTAAATACTAAAGAGCATAGTAAATCATTAAATTAAAACCTACAAATTTATATTCATATATTACCCCTTCTAAGTTTTTGGTAATCAAAGGAACACAAAAAAGCTATAGAGTTATCTGTCCGATAATTTATATAGAAACATATCATATGTAATAATTGTAAATCAAATCAGTTACATTAACAATAATATATAGAGATAGATAGATATATAAATGAAACATCTCACCACAAAAATAAAGTTATTTTACCAAACTTGATCTTTTTAACCTCAAATCCAAGAGCAATATAGCATAGTAGCCAAGAACATCTGTTAAATAATTAAAACACTTGGTTTACGCTCGACCTAACTAACTTGGTTACAGCGGAATCTCGAAAATTCATTATCATAATAAAAGTTACTTTTTATATATAGATAAAACATCTCGCGACAAAATTAATCAACATAAAACGTGTAACATGCTACATTCTTATAAGGAAACAATTTAATTGATTCACAAAATATAATATTGAAGTTTGAAGCTAACAAGAAAAATCAATATAATAAAATTTTATAGCAACAACTGAATTTCTCCTCAATCGAATGTATGACACTTATAAATAATATCTCAAAATAATAAACCTGGAATGGGGCTTAATAGCATTAGACAATTGCTTGCGGATCCAGTATTTTTTAAAGTGAGCAAAGAAGGATGTTTGCTACTAATAGATAAGCCACCAAATTAAATATAAACTTAAAACTACGACATCGTAAACCACTCTTTTGTAACTTGAGTAACTTGACGCAACTGTACAACTTGACATGCATGAGAAAGAGTATAATTCGCATGATTTAAGAAAATGAAAGAAAAAATGTGTTTACATAAATATACTACAAAATTGTCTGAATATGTGATTGTTACTATATAGCGGCCTGTCTTTCCACGATAACTGATCAAACTAATATTTTATGACATTAAAAAAGCATATCTGGGATCCACCCATACTAATGATAAACTCACTGCAACTGGAGCTGTTGGTAGAAACGGTACGCAGAGTTCGTAAATCCTACAAATCAACTGAAAAAAATTACTGTACATAAAATGCTACAATGATTATCTCACTGTATTTAAAAGAAGGAATATGTAGTTATCAGTCGTTGCTCTAAGATAAGTAAATATTCTATCAATTTCTGTATGTTAGCAAGAAAATGTGTCAGACAATTCACGACAGTCAAGACGCTAACGATTTCCTATTGACATACCATTTTGTATAATATCACAAACCTACAATTTTAAGCAAAATCAAAAAAATCAAATCAAATGTAAAAAAAAAACATTAATGTACATAAAATTCTACAATAATTATCACACTGCATTAAAAAACGAATATGCAGTTATAATTGTTGCTCTAGTATAAGTAACTATTCTACCAATGTATAATATACACTTATAAGTTTCTGTATGGTAACAAGAAAGTACGTGAAAAAGTTAGATGCTAATGATTTCTATTAAAATACCATTTTGTACAACAACCCATACCTACAATGTTTAGCAAAACCCACCACCAACAAATAGAATTTACCCGTTAAATATTAAATAGACCCAGTAACACACAAATTATGTACTAAACATTATACAACTGAGAACTGGGGTTGTTCAGCAAAAACGCAAAACAACGACAAGAGAAGGGCGTGGTTAAAATAAGATCGAAAGATTGAGCTATCTATTTTGCTGCCATAGCAACAGAAACGTGATTTTCCGATACAGAATTTTATGTGATTTTGCATATTTTATGAGGCACAGTAGAGACACAGCTCACTTAAAGAACTTTTACAAAGTTGCGGATTAACAAAAGAAAGAGAAAAGGATAAAAAGAAGAAAATGAAATGTGAAATAAACGCCATTGCTTCCTAATGTCAGATACATGTTTGACAAGGATTCCTTACTGCTGTAATTGAATGGCTGGCACAGGGTATCACTAAAACAGACCCCTGCTATTTCATCCACCCTACTCAAAGAATAGGAGGGACCAAAGATCTTTCTTGTTACCATCACTTTGAATTTTTTAGAGTCCCTCACTGAGAACGGACAAGGCTGAAAGCTTATCGTCCCTGCCAAAGGACACAATCAACTGAGCATTAGATGCACAGCAAAAATTATCTTGCCAACTATTTAACAACCTTGGATGCTGATTCAATAGATATTTGATAAATATTACGTTACTTTAGATACAGTGTACGTAGATGCTGCAGCAAGTGAGATAAGACACAAAGGATAACGAGTTGCAATTTATGCTGCCACATTTTAGTCTTTTAAAGACGTTTTCTGAGGCCTACAAAACATTGAAAATGCGTAGAAAAAAAGTGACAAAATTCGAAAATAGGATTTTAAAAACATTCTGAACTTCTCTTGGTTTCTTTGCCTTTCATGCCATTAACACCAACCCTTCCGTCCTCCTTTCTTGTGCTCAGACTATTTACATCTACATATTTCTGTGAGTCTACCTACCTCTTTGACTGTCTGACTGTCTGACTGCCTGTCTGTTTGTCTGTCTGTCTGACTGTCTGTCTGCTGTATTTCTGTCTATCTATCTGATTTTCAAGTAAGCCTTCCCCTGATTAACCATTGTGGAAGACGCAGTAATTCCCTAATAAACCGCCACAACGCATTGAGGGAGAAACCTTGCCCTTCTACGGTCGCCCTCAAGCGCTCAAATTCCTCCTCCAAACGCTCAATTCTATTCCTTAACATTGCATTTTCTTGCCTTTGTTCTGAACTCACTTGTTCAATCACGCGTGCAGTCTCCGACGATGCGACGATTAAGGCTTTTACATCGGCAACCAATTTCTCTTGCCTTCTGTAATGGGTGGTTAAAGCCCAGCTGTGTGCTGTGACTTCAGCTTCCGCTGCAAGGAGGTCTTGTCTAATTTCACCTCGAGGAGGAGAAACTGCAAGTCTTTGCTGTGGAATACTCTCTATTAGACGCGGCAAAAGAAGAAGGTGTCCACTAAGATCTTCTGACAAATGCCTGGCCAAGGACTCTCGGTTCAACAGTTCCTGTTCGTTTCAAAGCATAAAGATCATGCAAGTAAACGTCAGAAAAATTATGCAGTTCTCCACCTTTCCTCGAAACACAACTAGAGCTATATTTCCTTCACCTGGCTTTACAACTGACTGAATACGAAGTAGGAAAAGAAGAAGTACCAAGCAGAGATGAGTGCCTCTTGTAGAGCCACACCTTGGTTATATAGCTCTAGCCGTGCTTTGAAGAATCGACCCAGGTAAGGAACATGGGTTAAGGAACTCTTCCTTTAGCTAAAAGATCTATACAGGTGGTTTCTCTCAGAGTCATGGTCATAAGAATACAGTTTTTAAGACAAGCTGTCTTGTTTAAACCAAAAGGTTTAGACTACAGCTCAGATGTGCTTTGTCTAGTTTAGTTGTTTGATGTGAACATGCGGTTAGCATTATCTGCGTTATAACTGAGCACAAAGAAGGAGAAGAGGAAAGGACTAGCAGATTTGACTGCCCCTCATATAGCAGGTAAAACTAATCTTACGTTTACATCACACAACTGAACTAGAGTTTAAGGCACAAAAACGTGACCATATAAATCTTGTGGCCGGCACAGTCAAGGTATCTGCATTAATTCAAAATAAAACAATTAACATGGCCCAATCTCAGGTAAGTCTATACTTAAAAGAAACACCAAAGAGCAAGACTTCCCTTCTTAAAATTTACACAAGGCAAACACGGATAATCAAACTTACATCGCATGAGCATCCATGAGCTCTAAATGGACAATACATTCTGTTGCAGTCTCCGTTAACTGGGTCAACATGCTTACAAAGCTATGACGAAACAAACAAACAAACAAGAATACTGTAAGTAAAACCTCCATTAAGCATATATTCTTGGCAAATAAATTCTCTTACTAATGAATATATTTTGACCGAGCTCTTTGTTAAACTACTTGAACCTTGAGCAATAAGTGTTCTATTTTAAAATCGTTGTTACTCGACAAACAACGCTACTGAGGAGTTAGCGGAAAAACAAACAAACAAGACCTAAATTGTGACACGGCTTACTTTAACAGTTGCATTAATAATCATCATCATTAAGTAGCTCCAAAAAGATAAAAGAAATGGGGTCAAACATTTGAGGAGACACGTCAAAGCATCTAAAATATAATGAATTAAAAAAGGAGAGCGCTTTCAAACAACTTGTCCTCAACGGCTAACATATGTGATATGTTGTCCTATCCTACATCATTTTGTTTCCATGACAACTTATTCGAGCAATTTTGCACTGAATGAAAGGGAGAAAATAACACAAACTTTACCTCGGGCCGGTAACTCAAGTAGTTCCAAGGTTTATTGTAGGGATCTTTCCCTCATTCTACCCTCACCATGATAAAACCCTCCTAGGGGATTTCTAAGGTCGTTTCAAGGAATACTTGAAAATAAGGTGAGAACAAACGAAAGAATATGAGTGCTATCATTTCACTTGCACCAAGAACACATGGCTTTCTACATTCACTTATTTTTTGAACATTTTGTGCTATATATATTCTCAGTAAATTTTAATTAAAATTATCTCCAAAGGTGCCACTTAGTAGAAGACAAAACATACCTTCTTTTCCCTAACTTTGAAACGACCTCTCATTGACAAACCGCTGTAAAGTTTGTTTCAGCTTCTAAGGCAGGCCATGGATATTCCGGCCTCCCTTTTCACAAATGGACTTGACCGGAGTCGTATAACAAGTGATTTAAGTCAGATAGTATTTTAAACCAACCTGGCCTCGTGGTATGTCCGTTTTTCCACATCTGTCACATGTAACAGCGACGTTAGGACAACTCTGATAATGTTCCTGAAAGAGATAAAAATTTAAGATAAAGGTAAAACAAACAGAAGAGAAAAGAAAAGAAAGACAAGGAGCAAAGTGTTTGAGTTGGGCCGGAAAGAGAGTACGACTAACGATACGCCCTCCCTTGAACTTCTCGGGCTTGAAAACGGTCACTATTCTCTGAAGGAAAGCTTGTCATTACCATTCCCTGCAACCAGTGATTTCTTTCCGGCATGACTAGTAGCATCTACGAAGTCGTTCGCGTCCCTTGCCACTTGCGTACTTGGTTTGTTTACGTCCCACTACGCGACTGACAAGGAACGCGAACGAAAATGCTAAAAGCCATGCCGGAAATAAACCTCTCCTCGCAGGGTATCATTGCCACATATTTACTAAACTTTATATAGTTCCTAAATTTACAATAGTCAACCTCTACAATGCATTTTCTTGTCAATGTTAAAGGTCCACAGTCACGTTCGTTGCATTCAGTGCGCACCGAGGAACACCTTCACTCTGTGGGCGAGTCTTTAACAATTTTTGCCAGATAACTGAAAATTTTCACAGATAACTGACACTTTTATGCTAATATTATTTATTATATATTATATATTCATATATACATATTTTGAAGGAGCATAAAAATTCAGTTCTCTGTGAAAATTTGAGGCCAATATACCGAATAGTTTCGGACACATTCTCTTTGAAAAACTCGAAACTTTTCAAAGAATGTTAAGGCTAATTGACGTTTCTGCCACCGTGCGTCGTTGAGTCTTAAAGAAAGAGGCCAGGTTTTGCAAACTCTTTATCCTTTCTTCGGTGTCGCCTAAATTATGTTCGTTCACGACGTTTCTCTCTCGAAGCATGTAATCCCCCTATTGATGGTTTTAGAATTGAAGTTAAAACTTTTAATTACTAAAATGATAAATTCCTTGCCGGATGACCTCCAGGAATCCTTGTGCTGTAACTTGGCAAAGCAGTTCAACGTTTGTTTTCATTTTCCAGTTACTTCGGTCACTGTAAGATTACATCATTTAAGACAACATTAAATTTGCTTGGATTTGCACTTACTGAAGTAAAGGTTTCACTAACCTGACATGCTTCAGATTTCATTGAGGAACCACAGTATTCACACTCTATTTGACGGTGGGAGCACTCTCGCTCTTCATGCTGTGTCAACTGAATCGCTGGCACCATATTCGTGCAGCCATCATTCCTACATGGTGAAGGTATGTATGGGCAACTATGTTGATGAACCTAAATGAAATTAAACGCATTTAATAACTTACATTACTGTTCATTCGAGATATTTCTTCGTTTCTGGTTAACTGAGCCCCCCACCCCCCGCTTATTTTTCATGTTCGGCTAGCGTGACTAATTTGGAAAATGTTTGTCCATATCAATACGACTGACGTCAATCATATTCATAGGAACAACGACGCGGTGGCTGACCTGTATTGGTAGTACAAAAGTGGCGAATAGCATAGCAAGAATCGTCAAAAATTCCATTGGACTCCCGGGAACGGGCATATGTTTTGATAACAGGAGCATCGAGGTAAGCATGTTTGAGCGTGGCTTTTGTTGCCGATGGTAAGTAACAGTTTCCGGACTTGCAGGTTTGTTTTTCGCCATTTTGTTGCTAGGCAAGTGCAGCTACCCAACCTAAGACGCGCGGCACGAACTCCGACAAATTTATAAACCTTGCTTCGTGAGTAGCTTATTTGGTCGATAGAACTAGTTCAGTTAATTGTTTCTTAATTGTCTCTCATTGATATCAATAAGACAGACAAGAACTTTTATACAGCCACAGAAAAAGAAGCCTACGAACCGCAGACGTATTTCCAGTCGTCGCCTCTTCCCTCCTCTCCCTCCGAGAGGGAGAGAAGCGACAACCGGAAATACGTCTGCGGTTTGCAGGCTACAGAAAAAGACACCAGCAGCAAATTTACTACGTTGTATCTGTGGGAGTCGACAACTGCTTGATAAACTACTATGAATTTAATTAGCTGACATGGTCACAGGGGAAAAATGGCAGTCAAGGTTGACTTCCACTGATGCGTTTTTGGCTACGAACGTTAAGGCTACGTGCAAACGGGCGCAACAACTCCCAACAACGTTGGGAGTTGTAAGCCAACAATGTTGCGTCCGTTTGCACGAGGGTAAAAGTTTGACCGGTTTCAAACTTTGCGCAACAACATCCAACAACATGCAGCAGGATGTGCAAACGGACGCAACATGTAACATCCAACAATGTTGGGAGTTGTTGGTCAACAATGTTGCGTCCGTTTGCACGCAGCCTAACGCACGTAAATTTTGATCACGTGAATAAAATATAAAACGTGCTGAGCATAAACGAGAAGTTGAGCGAGGTTTAACGCTTACGAGAGACCATTTATGCATTGCCTCTATTTTATTTACGAACGTAAATTTTACGCACGTACGCACGTACAAATTTCGCGGCACTGGAAATCAACCCTCAGAGGATTAACTACGACAATGGCAAAAACAAATTGCACCTTTCAGGGTACAAAGCATGATTTAACAGTTTCTCCCACCAACATCGGTTGCATAGACTGTAAAACAGCCCGTATTTTTCGTAAGTCGTAAGTGGCGAAAGGAAGGTGAAAAACGGAGCGAGAGACTGGCGCTATGGACGTGTGAGGCTCGCATGCTTTGCACAAGAATGTCACGCCAGCAGTTCGCACCTTGAAAAAACTGATCTTAAGACAAAATAAGACTATCAATTGCAAGACAAATAACATGGGTGTTTCATGATTTTGCAGAAGCTATTGTTGGTTACGTATGGCATTGTAGTGTGGGTATTGATCATTGTCCTTTCAATCTTTTGCATAATTAACATTTTTAACAATTCAATTAAAGTACCACGTTGAAAGTTAGTTTTACTAAAAACTGCAGAATGCATTGCCTATATCAAACCGTCCTGTCTTTTCGTTTTTTTTTTAGACTCCTAGGTTTTGATTGCCATTTAGATAACACAATAAAGTGTTTTAGGTATTTGTGATTTAATTTTATCATGGGTTTACATTTCATTTTCCTTTGCCTCAAAGTCATCAAATGCATTAGCTTACCTGAAAACAAAGAAAAATATAATTCAAGCCGGGGATAAAATAGCCTGCACCACAGACGAAACTAAACTCTGGTTAAGTCCGTCTGCGTAACAGCGCCGAAATCCTTGTTCTGGGCCCCCACCTGAGAACCAGATTTGAGGATCTTAGCGCTGTTTCGCAAACGTTACTAACTGGGGTTAAATTACGTCTGCGACGCAGGCTAGGGATAAAATTGAACCACCACACGTAATTATGAGTGATGTATTTGTACTTACATCAGCACTTTTTAATTCACCTCTCCAGTCACATCCTAGAGCTGTATTTTTACAATGCACAAATTTGCATTCAATCTCCCTTCTAAGAAAGTTGTCAGGAAACCACTGTTCCGAGAAAACAAATAGCAATAGTTACAAATTTGGCAAAATTTTATGGATCTTCGTAATGAGTGTCAATGTTTTACATTAATAATCATGATGATGATGATGATAATAATAATAATAATAATAATAATAATAATAATAATAATAATAATAATAATAATAATAATAATAATAATAATAATAATAATAATAATAATAATAATAATAACAACAACAACTTTCAATGGACAAACCAATTAAGAGCGCCCAGCTATCACAAGGTTCAAAGCCAGGAATATGAAATCTTGGAAGACAACCCTGCTTCTCAACCAAGTTCTCGCGGGTCAATCTCTTCTAGGCAAAAAGAATTCAAACGTGGCATTTTGTTCAAGAGATTCTTCACCACCTCTGCTTTTCCGTATTGCCCTTGCTGCCCTTAGCTTGACACTCAACAAAAACTTTCATTACTGTATGTCCCAAGCTGAATCATCTCTTCTACACAGATGACCTGAAAACCTCTTCCAAGGGTGATGACCAACAGCAAGCCTCTCCTTCTCAAGACAAAGCACGCTAACTAGTGCCCTAGGATCGTCGTTTGGACCTGGCCTTTAGAGAGGAAATACTATTATAATAATAATAACAACAACAAAATTATCACTGAATGCCCAGAATTAGCAAGTACGCCAAGTTCTGTCAACAAATTGGCATCTTCCTTTAGTGCAATAGGTCCACTGATTGGACTCAGCATTACAGGATGCACAGGACAATGCATAGAAAAATAAAATAATAATGATGATGATGATGATAACAAGGAAAGTACTGTCCCTGAAGTAACTTCTCCTCTATAACTCCTCGTGGAAAGCAGGAAAACTTGACGAGAACATAATAATAACTTGTTATAGCTATCGCTAAGTGCCAATGAGCAAAGATTTTATCTATACGCGCGTGCTATTGAATTTGTTTCGAAATGTCATGAAATACAGTAATTGATGAAAAATAGAGTGAACAAAAATAGAATTCGATTGCATTGACAATAGTACAAACTTAAAGCAAGAGGCACACATACACCAACACACGGCCGGGCCAGTACTTCACGCATACGCACAGCGATATCACGCTGGCAGTACCAGTCAGTCGCAGACAGCTGTTTCACTCTTATTGGGGTTCAACAGTATGGTAAAGCCGTTGGGTTAATGAAAAGGGAAAAGCCGCGTCTCAAAAAATACCTCACTGCCTAGGTGAGTGCAATTCAGTCTATCAAGCGCCAGCTCCACACAACACATGTAGGAGCTGTTGGCTGGGAACCGCACAGCAGTTCTGCCACGACATGCACGGGGAAGGTGGATCACGAGTTACCAGTAAATTAAAGCAAGGGGCACACATACACCAGCCAACAGCCTGGCCATTACCTCACGCATGCGCACAGCCATATCACGCGGGCAGTGGCAGCCATGGACAGCTGTTTCGCCATTACTGGAGCACATCAGCATGGCATAGCCTTTGGTCAGTGACTGGGGCAAACTCGTGTATAAAACGCCTTTTCCTGCCGAGACAAGTCCTTTAAGTGCCAGCTCCACACGACACTTATGGGAGCTGTTGGCTGGCAACCGCACGGCGGTTCTCCCTCGACATGCGCAGCGAAGGCGGATCATGGGTTTGGTGTATGTGTGCCCCTTGCTTTAATTTGTCTTTTGAAAGTAGTGAACTAAACTGTTCTACTGCATAAAGAATTTGAAATCCCGACTTAAGGCAGCAAATTTTTCGAGATATTGAGGTTCGTGTTTTTGTCCGTTGCGCACAAATCATTTTGCGTAAAATTTAGTTGTCTTATAAGCAAACTTAAAATCCTCAAAAAATCATATTAAAGCCCGCGAATATTCAACGTACAGACTTATATTTGTGGTGCGCCAATGAACCCTTCCGAATTATTTTGCTTCAAAGACACAAAAACTTTCGCTGAGTCATTATTTTTCTCAGCGTCTTCGCGAGGCTGCTCGTTGGCAATGATGATAATAATAATAATAATAATAATAATAACAATAATAATTGGATTTGGCAGTGGAGGCAAACAAGCCTGACATTGCAGTGATGGACTAGCCTGCGAGCATCAAGCATATTTCCGGTCGTCGCTTCTCTTCCTCCGAAAAATAACGTCGGTTTTTCTCGGCGGGTGAAACTAAAGCCGAAAAAACCGGATGCTCTCGAAGGCTACTGATGGACAAGAGAGAAGGGAAATGTCTCATAATAGATATCGTATGTGCGATGTGTCCCTTCAACACAAGAACCTCTGAGAAGGAAAAGAAAAATTGTAAAAGTACCAGGATTTGAAGAGGGGGACCTCAAAAGAATTTGGAAGTGTACAGAAGTCACTATCGTGTATGTGATTTTTGGCACCCTTGGAATGGTGTCAATCAGCCGCCTAAGGAAACAGTTAGAGGTGCTGAACATAGCCAAGGAAGTACAGAAAGTATGCCTCTTGGGAACAGCAAGGATCCTTAGAAGATTATTAGACAAGGGATATTAGTCACACCAATATTAAGTAGAGGAAAAGTAGACACCCAAGGTTTAATACTAGAAGTGGCCTCCTGTCAATGAGACCTTCCAGTCTTAATGACTAATAATAATAATAATAATTTACATTTACATAGCGCAAACCTCTATATGAATATACTCGGTTGCGCTTTACAATATTGTTATATCAAATTTATGTTAAAGGTGACTAAACCATGAGAAACTATTAAAAACTACAATAAAAAGTATTAAAAACTATAAATAAAATAAATAAATAATAATAATGATAAACCCTATAATTTTATAAAAGCCAACAGTTAAATCTATTTAAAATGACTGTAAAACATTTACATAATAATAATAATAATATTATTATTATTATCATTATTAAAACAATAATAATAATTGCTCATGGGGAGATGGTGCCATTTTTAAAGACAGAAGTGACCTCTAGCCCAATCAGAATCCCAATAATAATTGTTACCATTACACAGAATAGGACAAGCACTCAGGATTGTCTGGTAGAGAGTCCAACTTGTAAGCTGTCTGCAAACATTATGCTGATCGCAGGCTAATGGCTCTCACAACTCTGTACTAAGATACAGACAGCGACAGACAGCCATCAATGCCAAGGACATCAATGATCGAAATTTTTATGGCATGATACATAAGCATTTGGGCTGGCACAAGTAAAAAATACCCACTAAAATCAGCACAATTTATGGAGATTATTATTATAGACTGCCAGAAGCAGAGTGGGTCATGAGAAGAGCATTATTGTGACTTCTATGATTCAAAAGAGACTATACTGTGTGCTCAAGAATCAAAAATACAATTCGCTTACAAACATGGCCTTGTCATTAAGAATTCTTATCATGGGGATATTGACCATAAAGATGCCTGTTGATAGTGTACAGGATTGGGTTTCATGCTTACATCTGAATTCCACTTCCAACACTCAGACTGTTGTTGGTGATAATGACCCTGTTGGAAAGGAATCGTCAACCATTCCAGGTGGTGAAGCAGGAGAGGACAGTGGTGAAATTATGTCTAATAAACCGAATACTAATAAATTAAATCTTGGGCCAGAAATATGTGTAATACACCTGCCACAGGAAGCTCCAGTGAGCCCCAGGTCATGTTGGATCAAATGTTTGAGGAAATGCTACCGCAGCTTTCATTAAGATTGTCAAACTAAATGTATCAAAATTTAGTGGAGACCCAAAGCAGCATGATGAAAAGGACCTTTACAATGCTACAGGGAAGCTTAAATCCCTGTTAGATGCCATGCAAGGAAAGACAAAGTCCTGTTTGGCAAAATTCCTGCTAGGTTCTGATTATAAGGAAGTATAATGGACTGTGCTTTTTCGATGAGCAATTTGGTTGGGTGAACACTGTTGTGTTAGCTGCTAAAATGTGTGTAGATCGAGACCAAATGAATTCAAATGGCGAACACATTAGACAGTATGAATAAATGGTATGAATAAATCTGAGTTAATGGGTGTGTATGTTGTGGTTCCATTTTATACTCGGTTTAAATTTTATTTTCCTTTGTTTCAAACTCATTATCATCCATTAATTACCATACCACAAAACAAAGGAAACTAAAATTTAAACCAAGGATAAAATTCAACAACAACATATACATGAAGCACAACTTTGTTAACAAATATTCACCACAGACACACTAAGGTAAGCATCGCTAAGCTTCCCATTTTTCTGTGCCATAGGGAGTCGTTCGTGAATCAGCTAAAAAAAATGCCAGTCAATGCCAAGGTACGTAGATGCTTGAGAAGAGAAAATGGAGGTGGTCAAATTTACTTACAGTTTTTAGAGTGATTTATCAAAGAGTGGTTGGCATACATGTAAGTTTACTAAAAACCTAGTGCCAGGATTGTTTGCATGAGAAACAAAAGAGCATAACCATTAGGCGATGATAAAGTGAATCAAAGACTCACATACACCAGACAAGTAATTGTAATAATGACAATAATATCCCAAAGGCAGACGTCGAACGCGTCATAGAAAATAGGAAACTTAGAAACAGAGGAAGAAAAAACCGCACCCCACTAATACAGGAACCAGAAAGATCTCTACCACTGAGCTGGTTAATTACATGCGAAAGACAAAGATTCATTCATTCATTTATTTATACACGGGAAATCATCAGTTTAAAAAGTACATACTAAATAAAAGTAAAGTACTAAAATCTAAATCACTTAAATAATTGTCGTGTGGGAGCTTAAACGAGAGTAGTAACTTTTAAGCTTCTCTTTGAAAACCACCAGGGAGTTACATTCCCTTAGACCTTGAGGCAGAGAATTCCACAAGGTGGGAACGCTATAGGAAAAGCTGCGCCTAAGGTGCTCTGTCCTAGGCTTAGGCAAGGCAAGTTTGTGAACTGAGTCTCTCACATCATAATAAGCACTAATATAATTTACAAAACATTTGGGCCCCATGGACAATCATCTCAGTGAGTTTGACTCGATGGAGGGTGGGCAAAGAGGTGGCAGACAACTATGTAGCGGCACATCAGATAATGGATTGACACAATGGTCGCCGTGATCTGTAACAGGGGGAAACAAACCTGAGTATGGCGTGCTTAGATTTGAAGAAAGCTTAAGATTGCGTGGATCAAAATGGCTCTGGGATATTATGAAAGTGTATTTCTTCTCCTACTAGCTCTGAAGAGTGATTAGAATGTCCAGTTCACAACTCAACATATCCCCATTTACAAGTCAGGACAACTTTGGTGCAAATAAGACCCATCACTTCCCAGCAACTATGACATGGCCAACGAAAGACTGAAGAAATTTAAGAATGATCCCGAAATCAAACAATCCTTATGCAAAGTCAATTTAGGATGACAATGAGAAGAGCTAGGTGAGAAAATTAACCAAATCAGAAGTATAAAACGAAAGTGACTTTGTGTTTACATGTTCCACAAAGATTAGTTATCAATCCCAAGACACCTGATCCTCTAAGGAGAGTGTGTAATACGTATACATCATTGAAATTCAAAGGTAAAAAAGAATGAATGATAAATATTTATAACCTAACACCAGATCAGACCAGATCGTACATGTCATTGTTGTTAAATAGGGTAGTGTGCTTCTTGCAAAAGAAGAAATGCATTAGCTGCAGAAGTGAGAGAGATATAACACATATTGTGTTTACCTGAAAGTGATCAGCCAATATTAAATGAGGTTTCTTTGGAAAGAATGAAGAATGAAAGTGCATGTTTACCAGTTGAGAGAAGAGTGTTTGGAGAAGTGTCTGCACCATTTCAGGCAAACTACACCATGAGACATAATATTTAATGCAGATTAATAGGAATGGGGCAAATCTGCCCCTTCGCATCAACGTTGTCTAGTCTACAAGCAATAATGACTGTCTACCATCTACTGACCTGTGAGAAGAAGCTCTTTTGAAATAATTTGAAATGCTGAACCAGACAACAGGGTCGTTGCATTGTGGAGGTTTCCATTTACACAAATGGCTCACAAAATAGCCTTAATAGCCACCATTCCAGAAGAGGATAGATCCCCGCATTTCCATGAGAAGATATTGCTGTCAGAACTTACATAACATAGACTTATTTTTAAGACAAGCAGTGTAATCAGCAAGAACAACCTATCAAGTAAGTACCAAAAGTATACAAAGCATCTTTTTCCTTCCATTTCATTTCCTGGCTTTGGTCATAAAAATAAAACAAAGTTTATACTTTGTTCTGAAATAACAGGGCTTGAGAAAAAAGAAAAGAAAAGAAAAGAAAAACTTCCAGCTTGTCCCTCAGGCAAACAGCTCTCACATTTTGATTGCCCAGGGCCACTTCCTGCTTTTCTAAATTAATGATTCTGTTTATAACTACATGCAAATTTCTCAAATTGCCTAGTTCTACTGAGCAATTAACAATTTTTATTTTAAATTACTTTCCTCCGATGAAAACTAGTAAAACAAGGTAAAAATTAGCCCTGGAAATAATCTCCATTATTCCATAAGTTCCATAAATTATCTATAACATAATGGTTCTTTAATAATATTTATTCTTTCATTTCATTTTCATCACACCAATCAGTTCTTCAAGAGTATACCTTGTCGACATCAGTCATGACTAACCTGACAGTGTTGCAGAGGCTTTTCACACTTGACACAAACTGGATTTGTTTGTCTGTAATATGAACAGAGAAATGAAACATGAGAGCCCTGGATTCTAGCTATGGTATAATTTTGCCCTTTGGTTAAAAAATAGAACAAAATTTACATCAAAGGATAAAGGTGAACTGGCACTTACACACTGAAAGGGTAGCTTTAAAACTGAAGCACTGGTCCCTTAATCTCTTAGCAGGGCCTCTGATCATGATATATATTAACAAAATGGTGTTAATATTTCACACTTATATTGGTCTCAAAACTATTTTCTTACGATTCAATCGCACAATTTGAGGAAAATCGCATAATTCTTCGAAAAATCACACAATTCAAGTACCTTTCATTAAACAATTTCCCAAGGTCAAATTGACATTGAAATTTTGGGGTGATTTACCACTTCACAAGTTTCACATGACACCTACAACCTTCAATTATTATGGTAGACTGTTCACAGTCTTTTTTTTTTTTCATAAGATCGTCGAGATTGAGGACATTGTGTTAAGGGCAGCCATCTTGTTCACGCAAGGCTGCTCCCGGAGCATTGCTTGACGACACTAAAAATGGCTGTGTAGCAGACTACCATCTTGGATGAGTGTCAAATCTACTTACTATGGGGGGCCAGGGGATGGCTGGGAGGAAGCGAGAAATTAAATAGAGGGACTGTCTTAACATCACTTCAACTCATGTTCAGGGGAAGTGACCAGAATTTCACACCTTTCACCATTCATTGATAAACAAACTTCCACTTATGATGAAAAACATATGCTAGACACGTTTGGCATCTGAATTTCACATGTTTACAAACATTTCCTTTTGAAACAGTGATCATAATACAGTTATTAGGGCATTTTTCAAAATAAAATTGGCAAATACGTACAGTTGAAACATTTTCCCAATCTAAGCAGCAAGCATGCTCTCTTAAGCACTGATTAAAACAATTAAACCTTCAGATAAAAAGCCAGAAATTTCTGACACGGGTCTTTGTAGCATTAATGAGGCTATTTAACAATTATTCCTCGAGCCCAAATGGGCTCTGAGTCAATAGCCCATGCAGTCAAAGGCCGAATGCGCTATTGACTCAGAGGCCATGAGGGCGAGAGGAATAATTGTTTTAGTAAAATCCAACTAGTTGGTCAAAAATATCAAGAATAAAAAAATTTTTGCTAGTTAAAGCTAGACTTAAATCCCTTTTTGCCGCCAAAAAGCCCCCCTTTTTGCTACTAGTGGGCTATAACATATAGCCTAGTAGTAGCTCAACCAATCAGAACACAACATTGATATAATAGACCACTAGTTGGATTTTACTAAATTATGTTAGAGGGTAAAATTGTGACAGGCGACATGACCTTAAAACAGTGACATAGGACAGCAGAAATGGTCACAAACAACCCAAAGATAGGTTGAAACTGTGAGAGTGACAGACAAAATACAAAAGAGCAGAGCAAATACAAAAGTAAAATACTGCCAGCAACATGGCTTCCTCCTCAATCAATACGTGTAAAATCACAGGTTTTGAAATTCATACTACAAATATACGTAACCCCCATAAGAGCGCCTCATTTATTTCAATTCATTTGGCAAAAACCGAGTTTCTTCATTCAAAACTCCCCAGACCACTGGAATTAAAAACATTCCCCTGGCTTGGGCAGCTGCAAAAGCATGCATGTTGGCTTATGTGATTAATCTTCAAAAAAACTCCAAAGTCCTTGTGTGTTTGCACAAAATGTGCCTTGCCAATTCCCAATAGCGTCAGATTTTGAAAACAATTCTTGCAAGCAAACTGTCTTCCCTCCTACACAGAAATGCCAAGAAGTGTCTGCCCTACTTCATGCCAATTGAAAATATTTATTCATTCCCCAGTTTCATTGGGGAAATTGGAAAATCATTGGGGAAATTTTCATTGCCTATCTGAACTATCGATGCTTCGCGATTGTAAGTGTTCCGATAGCAATACATCAATACCAAGTTTAACTATCGATAATAATCGCAATAGTTTCATAAAATAACGATAGTTACAATAGTTTTTAAATGATCTCCTGAAGCGTCTTCCTTGAATTAAGAAGTTCACCACTAAGTATCACCACTATCGCAATACTATTGCAATGGTGTTTCAACTATCGCAATACTATTGCAATAGTCAAAATGGGTGCAATAGTCACCCCTACTGCATAGTGATATCAGGCTCGCTGATTTTGACTGAAACCTTTTCACTTGGATGAAAGAATTGACAGAATATATATAATTATATATTTTTTAATTCTCACTTTTATGCACTCAGAATAAAATTTAACTTTGATGAAACAATAATTCTTACTTGGATAAAAATGGACTTTTGAGCTTTTCTGTGCTTTAATTAGTTTGAAATTTGGCCCATTTTTTCCTCAAAATTCGAATTTTTTGTATTCAATGTATGGTTTCTGGGACATTTTTGCACGTTTTTAGTCACTGACAAAGATATTTCATCATTACAATGATGTAAGGCCTAGGCCCAGTTCAAAAGTGAAACTTTTCATGTATTGAACCTAATTCCTACAATTAAGTACATGAAAAGATCAACGTTTGAAGCAATTAAGTTCAACATATCTACTTTGGGTCAACCCAGGAATTATTAAGTTTGAGTGGTCTACATGGGAATTTTGACTGTGGAGTGACTTCATTTTAAACATTAAACTTTTCATGTGCCGAACCTGATGCATAAATTATATTAACGTAGTTTCAGCACTATTTCATCTGTGAGCCGACAGCCGACAGACAGAAGCGTGACAACCCTTGACCTTCCCAAGCAGCATTCTCCCAAGGGAATTTAAATTGAAACTGCATGGGCAGCATAAAACAGCTTATTGAATACAACTTGCTTTTAAGCGTCTATATCCACACAAAACTGGTACTTTATTGCTGTGTTTCAATGGGAGTATATAAAAAAAATATTTACCTGAACATAACAGAGCAAAAAAGAAGGAAACCCGCTACAAGCAAGATCTTCCTACATGGTTACTAATTCAAGAAATTTTGTCTACTATTCATATTGAGTCGAAATAGAAGGCATCTGATTTATTGCAAACCACTTTAAATCAATTTCCTTCTTAAAGCTATAAATTGATATTTGTTCACTCCACAAATTAGGTTCGGCACATGTTAAGTTCTACGTCAGAATCAAGTGTCAAACTTTATTATTTGGGTTGACCCAAAGAGGTATTAATTTCGGTACATGAAAAGTTTGACATCTGAAATGGCCCTATGCGAATTTGATAGTACGTACTTCATGTAAGACTTTATATAATGTCCTAAGCCATTCCCATGTCATAATTTGGCCGCTGGGTCAATTTGCAGATGAGGTGGGGGAGGACCTTGACATGGGGGGGGTAGTGCAAAAGAGAGAGTCCCCAGAATTTAGATCTCTGGAGGTTGGCATCTCTGTTTTAGTTCTATTCACATGAGAACTTCATACACCTGTACAAGTACACTTCGTCTTCCTGACTCTTACAATAACTTTACTATTCTCATGTATTTTCAAGTCCATATAATGATTCAATGCATCTTATTCAAATAATTCTTCTTATTATTATCATTATTATCATTCCTAATTGTTACTATCATCATTGAAAATTGTGAGTCAATAGCTACTTTTTAATAGTACAAACCATACCTTAAAACAGCAGCCAGACATTTTTCACAATAAAGATGCTCACATAACCCTGTTTGTACCACAAGTCGTGGAACAAATCCACATGATGAGCAAAACCATCTTTCATTAAAACCTGTAAGGTCAACTGCAGAGACTTTATAACCACTAGGAACAGACATGATTAACTTATTGGATGTGAGTCTTTAATTACTGAAAAAGAAGAGAGAACAAAACAATATTGAATGAGAATAAATTTATTATTCAAGATCAGACACAAGACATAATTATTTTAAGCCAACAACTTTTAAGAACTTTCATTTAAAAAATAACATTTCTTCACCTAAAAAAGCTCAATAAGCAATATTTTATGGTGTTAAAGACAATTTCAGTGTAGTGCTTCTAAGTATTTACCAAATCAGTGAATAGCCCACTGATTGGCTGCATAACATAGAATTAATCCTTGGCTATTCACTATTTTGGGACTGGAGTCATTGTGGGCTCCTGCTTCATAACAGTTGAAATCAGAAAACAAAACTTTTTTAGCAACACTATGGAGCATTTTCACCAACAAATAACAAGAACATGAGGAAATCTGGTTTGTCAGTCTTTACTTATAGGTAAAACATTTTGTTTTTAATTTTTGTTTATTCTATTTTATTGCTATTATTTTTTTAACTGAATTTGCGACCAAATCATGAAAATTCCCTCAACTAATCCCAGAACAGTCAAGTACAATGTAAACAAAACCTTTTTTTAATATTTAAGTGACATCTTAATTTATTTCTTAATGAAATGTTTCAATCCATGGATGGTTTCACGTTACAGTTCTAGGCACCTATCTATTATTAATAGAAAGCACTACAAGGAAATAAAAGGCAAAATTTTGGTAAGGGGGCTAGAAGAGAAGCCTTTTTGCACTTGCTGCCCGTGGGAGGCACTTAAAGGGAAGTTGGGTAGGGGTGTCCACTGACTAAGGCCTTCAAACCCTACTTAAGACAAAATCAGTTCATCTTGCGACTTTTTTTTTTATTTTAAAGATAACAGACATTTTTGCCCTAGCCTGAATAGGAAGCTCGTTTCCGAACAAGTCATTATCACTCTTTTTGCTCTCGTCCAGCTTTCTCAACAAACTCACACAGAAACACCTTCTACACAGGCTCTTCTTGCCCCTGTTTCATTGTACAGTGTATCGTGTTCACAGAATGAAGCATTATTTTACAAGAGAACATAAAAGTATAACTGACTGCTCCCGGTTTTACTTTGTAGTGGCGGTTTATTACAATTATCTCACCATCATTACTTTCCCAGGCTTATTGTGGCAAGTATTATTTCATTTTCAAATTTCTACTGCTAATAGATTATTCATTTAGCGCGTGTGGCTGCAACCCCACTTATAGTTATTACTTAGTTACTTGTATACACAATTACACGATTAACTAAAACTAGTCACACCCATCAAGAAGTACACGTAAAAGCACTTTGATCGCCAAGTAAAATTTTGACTCTCGAAGCCAAGAAAACATTTTTGAACATAATCTTAAAAATGAGTTCGCCTGAGTCATTTGTTCTTCCTTCAAACAGTTCTGAGTTTTCAAGGCCCATGTGTAGTATGCAGTCTCTATTCCGGTGTTATTGTTCACGTAAACACACATTTCACAAGGTAGTTTCGAAAATGAAGCACTCGAAAACGAAGACCGAAGCACGAAGCACTCAAATCTCGAAAACGAAGCACCCAAATCTCAAAAACGAAGCACCCAAAACTCAAAAACGAAGCACCCTAGATCAAAAACGAAGCACCCAAAACTCGAAAACGAAGTACCCTGGATCGAAAACGAAGACCCCTAAATCTCGAAAACGAAGCGCCCTAGATCGAAAACGAAGCACCCAAATCTCGAAAACGAAGACCCCAAAACTCAAAAATGAAGCACCTGAATCAGGTGGAGGCAGCAGATGCCTCCACACCTCCAAAGGTCCACAAAATCCATCCCAAGGTTTTATAAGAGCCTGCCAACTGTTTAACTGAACTTATCTAGATAGGATACACAGTATTCATTTTATTATTGGTCTCACTATACTTGATACATCTTACCTTAATATGCATTTTTTCGGTACACATACATGTTTATGTAGACTTCAAAACTGTCAAACGAACCCCAAAGGGCGTCTGGGGGGAGGCTAGTCCGTCAGCAGATTTTGGCGTATTCAAGTGCAGCGTGAGCAGTAACACAAAAGGTCTGAAACGAGGCTGAAAACGGAGTGTGAGGCTCGGCACAGACACTCTTACGCCACGCTTTACCGACTTCTTTTTCTTCTTTTTCTTGAGTCTAACGTATTGGATATGCAGGAGGTTACGCCCCCTCCCGATCGCAAAATTATCAAACTTCTAACATTTGTTCTCTTGTTTTTGCCGCTTCGATATTATCGCTAAGACTCGTAATGACGACGGCTACCACGTTTTCCCGCCAAAATGACGCTGGTTCACGCACGAGCACACTTAGCACTAAGAAAATCTCGTACTCGTCTTATAATCTAAAGCTCTCTGTCATCGACTTCAAGCCTGCGAATTTAACTGGCTTTTACTGGCAATACCAGGCGCGGATCTAGGATAAATACTGACCGATTTCCTAAACGAACTCCAAGGGCGCATGCTTCTAAGGGAGTCCAGGGACATGCTCCCCCGGGAAATCCGGTTTGGATTTTAACTCCCTAAAGTTCCCTTTCTTGAGATTCTGAGTCATTCAGACAGGATGTTGGCCAGTTCCATTCTCCCCAGATGAAGCCTTGGAACTTGGAAAGTTTTTTATTTATTAAAAATATATTTATTATGAAAAATCTGACCGATTTTCGTAAAACGGTGGAAACCGGTTTGGATCCGCGCCTGAATACAGTAACATTCTAGAAATAGTTTGGGCCTCCCACGCAGCGGCGGAAATGCATTTACAACTTGAGTAGATTTGAACTACATTCGATTTGTTATCGTGCTTGATTCCTGCTGTATTAGCATTCGTCTCGTGTTTATAAAGGACACACCGGTGTCGAGTTTTTGGGTGCTTCGTTTTCGATCTAGCAGGGTGCTTCGTTTTCGAGTTTTGGGTGCTTCGTTTTCGAGTTTTGGGTGCTTCGTTTTCGAGATTTGGGTGCTTCGTTTTCGAGTTTTGGGTGCTTCGTTTTCGATCTAGGGTGCTTCGTTTTCGAGTTTTGGGTGCTTCGTTTTCGAGATTTGGGTGCTTCGTTTTCGAGATTTGGGTGCTTCGTGCTTCGGTCTTCGTTTTCGTGTGCTTCGTTTTCGAAACTACCCATTTCACAACCAGTTTCCACCAGTTTTACCTTGTCATGACATCGTTTTTAGCCAGAACAAAGTGCGAGGTCTGCCCAACATGACCGAATCAGTGTTAACTTGTTAAAACCTGACCTGCATGCACATGCTATGGCTGCAGGTGACTCGGCGGGGGCGTTCATGTTATCTATGACTTTCAAGAGTTCTTTAAGGACATTAAGACGTTATAGTGGCAAATTTAAGTTTAGGGGTTATTCCTTGCATAACAGATTCATATAAAACGGGTTCCCTGATGGCAAAAAAGAGAAAAACTTACCAACCAGCGATATTTAAACATTAAAGCTTCTACGAATTCGACTTGAAAATTCAAGATGGCGGACTCGATAATCTATCCCAGAAGCCCCAGGAGTAGGTGAGGGGAATCCCCGCAGCCACGCCTTAGCGACCGTGACGTGTCGGTAAGAAAGAGTGGCGAACGCTAAATAAAATGAATATAGAACATTCACCTATGTGTTTGGGTGTGTATACATCGTTTTACTGGATTTTTAGTCTCCATTCTGTTCATGCGTAAACACTGTAACTCTCTGATTATGGCTTTTGTACAACGGTCCCCTCCCCTCGAAAAAATATATTTATATTCGGGGAGAGAGTTTTTTTGAGGGTAGGGGACGGCTGTGTACAGGCTACCTAATTACAGTGGTTACGCAATGAAGCCAAGACGCCACTGAATGAAGGAAACACAAAGGAATACATGAATGGGAAGACTTCTTAGGGACGGACTATTAGAAAAGTGATGGTGGGGGTAAGGGAAAATCCAAAAAAACTTCAAGCAAGGGAAAAATTCTTGCAAAGTGAAACCCAAAGCAAAAATTAATGAAAAGGATGTGCCGCTTTTTCAAATTAAAACCAGGACGACAATTCTGTCAAAATGCCCAGCCTCAGTGTAGATCGATTCTCGATTCTATTGGATAATGTTTTGAAATGTTCCTTTCGGTGGGAGGGTGAAACCCTCGGCTTGAACTAGAGAAGAGAAGACAAGTTTAGCAACTGATTAATAACTCTTGAAGAAAAAAAAAAGTATACTAGGATATGTGACTTTATAGCTCATAAACAAGGCTGAGTTTTTAGCTCCGATATCCTCGAAGAAAAGGTTCACGGATTGTCAGTTTGAAGAGATCTACATCCATCAGACGTTTTTGAAGCGTTTCAGTGGCATTTTGCGATGCTATTAAAGTTTACAATAGTCAGCTGCATCTAATGTTGTAAACTTGCTAAAACATTATTCGCTGCACGTTCATTCGACTATGCTTTGAGTTCAGTTCACCTATATAAATCAACCCTTTTCCATAACATACTCATGCAGTTTTTTTTTTTTGAGTTCACGCCATTCTGCAATATTTGCATATTTTCTTATATGCTATGATCGTTTCTCAAATTTATAGTGTTTATGAACCAGTTAAGAATAACTATAACTTATAGTTTCTGGACACCAGCGTTTGTATCAAGACATTGCATTTGCATATGAGTACGCTCTGTAAAAGACGTCAATACAACGATTTACACAGCACAGTACTCTGACGGCCTGTGAAATCCAGGCTGCTCAGCAAACGATTTTCAAGGGAGGCCATTTCATTAAGAAAGTGCACTTTACGGATGACCAAGCAACCTTAGCCAGCTCAGTTAAAGGTCTGCAACTAATGATGGATAAAATGCAGGAGACTGTAGAGGGATATGGTATGAGGATCAGTGTTAAGAGCACTAGGGTGATGAATTCAGTAAAAGGCCTGGTCATGAATTCACGATCTTTCTTCAAGAATCGCCCTTTAACTATCTTGGGTGCCTTATTATACAGGACGGATCCTGTGAGAAAGATTTTAGATCAAGAATAGCCTGAGCAAAGAGCGCGTTTACTAAAAGAAAATAACTGCTGGCAAAAGCATTCAGCCTTTGCCTGAAGAAGAGAATTATAAAGACTGTCGTCTGGAATACTCAGGGGCACCCGACGAGGATATAGTTCAAAACCAGTTAACATAGCATTGTTGAACGTATTTTAGTATTTAAACGGTAGATATAGGCATATTTTTATCCCCTAAAAACTTTTCATCTGTTCGGATTTCCTAGCTGAAAGTCTAGTGATCCGAAAATTATAGGGATCAAAACTTACCTTTTCGAAAATTTCAGCCAGGCAAAGGCTCCCGAAAATTCTAGGTGGCCTTTTTTGGGGTAAAAGAAGTAAATTTTCCAAAAACTTCTTGCACAGGCAATCAGCTTGCAAAAAACCAACTGGCTCTTACCATATTTGGAAGATGCTAGCATCGATGCGATGGTGCGTTTGATTTGAAAAGAGGCTGACCGATGGTCTATTTGATTAGAAACGAGGCTGCTTGGGTAATGGTGAACTAAAAAAATGGTGTTTACAGCTATTCGCCTTCGAAGACAAAATACAGTCAAAGCTCTCCTTGCGACTACTCTCGTCAGCGACCAGCTCTAGTTACGACCACCTTTCAGTGGCGTAGAGTAAACATTTTGGTACGTACGAACACGGGTCCACATGGTCTCAAAAACTTCGTACAAAATAACATTTTTGCTTACCTTTAATACATATCTCGGCAGTTTACAGCCTTGTTTACGATAGGACGTGATATCAAAAACAGCTTTTAAAACATTTTTCTTTGAGCTCTTACTGGAATGTTTACAAGCACAAGGCGAGGCACCTCCCCTTTTGTTACGCAAATTAAGTGACTGTGACGTTATCAACATTAACATCTTTGTGTTTATGAATATGTTGTGATTCAATTTAATCCTTGGTTCAAATTTTATTTCCCTTTGTTTTCGGGTATGGTAATGTATGATAATGAGTTTAAAATAAACAAACCAAGGATAAAACTGAACCACAACATATATGTAAAATCGCCAAGGATGAAAGTCGCTCATCTGTCATCGTATTACGTAGTGAAGTCTTTAGTCTTTTCATCGAGCTGAAACTGCACTCAACAGCGCACGCCGAAATAGGGAAAGTAAGAAGTGTTGTAACTGCCACATAAATTCCTTCATAGAAACCGGCATTGGTTTGATCAAGTGTTTCTACGAGAGTCTCTGGAAGGGGATCATCAGGTGGCCCGATTGACCAGTGGTGCCTCCATTTTGTAATCTCTTGTTTGAAGTCAGTGAGATCCATTCATATCGTCTCCTTAGTATTTGTGAATGGACTGCACTTCCGCTGTAATTCATAATAATTTTCTTTCATAATTTATTTGCTTATTTATATAATTGTCTGACAATTATATAAATAATGCAAATAAATTATTTAAAAAATGTCAACTTAAAAACGACCCAATAAATTTACTAAACTAACATCTATATTTATAGGTCATACTTGCAGTAAGAAGTTGAGCGTTGAGTTGAATCCAGGTAGTGGCGCTACTAGCGTTTCTTGTATCTCATTCACCAGGTGATCTAAAAATGCCAAATACACTGTACATCGCTCTTTTCCAGTATACTGGAGGGGAGTTTGCTCCCATGTTGTTGCGATGCTGTTGCCTTACTGTTGGCATGGACGGTTCAATATCGTACCCAGAAATTTGGAGTTTAAAAGCATCGGTTAGAAGAATTGCGGCGTGTGCGTGTTTGTGTGACTTTTGACTGACTGCTGACTTTTGCGTTTTTCCCTTGTTTCGATCAATAGAAATGCACTTTTTTATTTGAGTGTCAATGTATTTATCACGAAAGTACTAATTGGGGACACTATATTTTACGTCTCCAGTTGGAGACGGGACCGCCATTTTACGTGGTCATCCGAACCACGCGAAGGTCTACCCGTTTGACGTGCAAAGGGAGTACATTCATTTCTCGGTTATTTTAAGACCCTGAGTATTGGTCCGGCGTCAAGAATCGAACCCGCGACCTCCCGCTCTGCAGTCAACACGCTCTACCGACTGAGCTAACACTGCCGCGGTTGTAGTCGATTATAGTCAGCATTTATATATTTTCAGTTGCTCTGAATATCTCCAATACCACATCTATTCGCTAGGAGTAAAATTTCTGCAAAATTCTTATTGATACCGCCCCTCATGTGCACTGCGTGCACCTAATCATTTGTAGTTTGCTTCAGCTTGCTTGGATTAGCGTCGGCATGGTCGGGTCCATGCCCCAGTTAAGCGACATTAAAGTAGTACTTTGATAGACTTTTTAGACATTTATATAGAGAGAAAGAAACAAAAAAAAATTGCTTTTGATTGGGAAGACTTTGAAGATAAATCTTGAAAGGAATGATAATCAGTCAGGGTCGATTTTTTGTTGCGACAAATGTGTTTGCATGAAGTTCCCCAGTCTCCTTTCGTTTCTCATGAATACGCAATGAATTGTGGGATCGTCTGGAGCAAGCATTTCAAGAATGGTTCGAATTTATTATATTCCACCACTTAAACTGTTGTATTTTTCGAGTAAAAATGATGTGTATTTGTGTAAAAAATGGAGAAGCAAAAAATAAAAACTGAAACCTCAACAAATGGCGAAGTGAAAATCAAAAAGTTCAAAACAAAAGTGGAAAAGTGAAAAATAAAAACGAACGCACTCTGTGACCCCCCTGGGGTTTAGTAGATAGAAAACGGGTCGGACTCGCCGGACGCTTTGCCGCCATTTTGGAACATTCTGGGCAACTGAAAAACCCTGGGCTCGACTTACTGCAGAATCCCGGCTGTTTGTCTGGTGAAATAATGACTCAAACGAAGAAAAGAAAGGCAACTGAGACTGTAAGAGGCTATAAAATGTCAAAGCAAGTTTATAAAGCTGCCGTCAAATCAGTGTTGCTGTCAGTGATGTTTTCGAATACTCTATTTCAAAAAAATAGTACTTATCCTTGGGTCTATTTTTCTTGCGCGGGCAACGCAAATTTTTTGCGGCATTTTTTTCCAAACAGCGGAAATCCCGCAAGGCCGCTCTCTAGAATAACCCCCGGATTATATGCTCCCCGAAGGAAATTTTGGCTTCCTTGAAAGAGATTATTCGCTGCCCGAAGGAGAAATGACTCTTCATTAGGTTTTGAGACCGCCGCACGGCAAACTTTTCACTCGATCGCGCTTCGATGGAGTCATACATTTTCTGGAAAATTGTAAACTGAATTCTTTGCTAACAATTTTTATATAAATGCAAAGACAGCTACGCTTGATTCTTATGCCGTTTGAACCCTGACGACAGCGTCAAACGACTTAAGAGCTTTGAGAGCACATGGCAAATCGAAGACTTTATTGACTATATTGTTCTTGCAGTTTTTTAAAATAAGTACAGGTTTTTATATTAATTTAAATTATTATTGTAAATCTTTTTTAGCGTTCTTGAAGAAGGTTTTTATTGTTGTAATTTATTTTTATTTAACGTCTTCCTCGATCTGCATAATTCTTCACATCTACTCAGCCTCATTCAATAATTGTTGATCATAAAAATGTCTTTTAACCCTCCTAGTCCATTTTAAAGGAGGCAAATTTCCTCGAAACGTGAGTTTGGGTTACTTGTGGCACAAGTCGGTAGGACGAAGGGCCGACTCAAAAGGAGCAAAGCTGTTACATGTTCTCCTCTCCCGTCACTATTGAGGGAGAGGAGAGATATTCTATTTTATTTTTTCCATCAAAGTGTCTAAATCAAGAACTTAACCACCCACCCCCGCCCGTTAATGCGAAGGCCCAAAAATGTGCCCCCTCCCCCCTACTAAAAAAAAAGAAAAAATAATAATAAAGGAAAGAAAATTTTTTAGATAAAAGGATCAATGCTATCGAAAAGAAATAATGTAATACTCTAGAGCAAGAGCCACAATGTAGAAATAATGTAATACTCTAGAGCAAGAGCCACAATGTCGAGTTTATTAAAAATTTGATGTTTTCAAATAGAATACCACTTGTCAATAAACCTCAGTCCAGTTTAATGCTATCTGTCTGAGTTCCTCATTAAACACACTCAACAAGGAAGCTGTTTGTGAAGGCAAAATGCGCACGCACTATGACGTTTAGACATAGAAACCAAGAGAGATTAATCTAGATTTATTCTCCCTTGCACATTCCAAGACCCCGCACGAGCAATTGACGGTGTTGGTTTCTACTGTAAATATCAAATTGCATGGGTTAACCGGAATTAACTTATCTATAATTATTCGGGTCAGATACCACACACACACACACACACACACACACACACACACACACACACACACACACACACACAAAGAAAAGTGTCCTCAGTGTTCTCCTAAAGAAACTAAAATGGGTCCGGGAATGTCAACGAGTAAAAGGATGTCAAACATGGCTTGCGAAAACCCACAAAGCTAAACGTTATCTCCTTGCTTTGCTTCCACATCTGCTCCATGCAAAGATCAAGTGAATAGACCTATTCGGCTAAAGGAAAGGACCATTAGAAAACTTATGCGGGGGCGGGCGAAGTACAAAAAAAATATTCGCGCAAGGGAAAATTAAATGAAAAAAATTCATGCACGCCAATTAACCCTAAAAAATATTCATGCAATGGCCTAAATAAAATTCATGCAAAGAATTTGATAACGAAAAAAAATTCTTGCAGCTCGAAAATTCCCCTCCCCCCCCATAACTTTTCTAATGGTCCGTCCCTAACTCAATGTTGTACCCAATTCAAATCTCCCGGGGATAAGATTCTTTGTGTATTGTATTTGCATTATAATGTGGCATTCACATTTAAATGATATGGAAATTCCTGAAACAAAACGTTTTATTCCCAAAGGGTTTGAATTGGGTACAACATTGAGCTAGCCGAATAGGTCTATTGCAGGAACCATGACGCGGAGTTGCGGCTTGTCCAAGACCTTAGAAGCAATTGGAATGAGAAAGATGCTACGATGGTTCGAAGCTAAGGCGGAGTCAGATCACCTTGCTTGGGTAATGGGATGATGGCAGGCAGCCTCCTGCCTCCACCTGCATAATTCTTCAGATCATACTCAGCCTCGTTCAATAATTGTAAATAAATTTACGGAGAGGAAATAGTAAACAAGCTAAGTGAATAACAAACACCCTAAGTTGAGACTCCGACAAGCCGTGGTGTGAAGGCAACATTTACGTAAGAAAATTAAAAGAAATACCAGCCCGTGTAACAGAACAAGCCCACGTTTTTCAGTTTAATGGGAAAGTTCGCAATTTTTTTGCCAAATTTATATTTTTGAGAAACTCACAGTAAAACCCCAATATAACAAGCCTCTACATGGTCAAACCTGTGTACAACGGTCTCCGTTAAGAAATGGCAAGGTAACTGTTATATACAGGGTGACCACTGTATACCAGTCAACTTTGCAGAAAATATAAGGCAACTGAAAATTTTGGGAAGTTGTCCGGCGACCGTAATATCCAGGGTGACCGCTTTATACAAGGCCGTTATTTACAGGATTGACTGTACTTAAGCATTTTACTATATATTCCTCCTCCCCCTCTCCCGTAAATTCTCTAAATTCTCTAAATTTCAGTTACGATTGAAATGAAAAGACAAACTTAATGTAGCGCAAAACTTTGAAACGGAACAAGACATTCCCACGATGGCGCCATTTGACTACAACTAACAGAATCCGTCAGGGTTCACGGTTCTTTTACATATAAAGGCATTTGTTATTGAGACTTGACGGGATTACCCGAGAAAGCAAAGACAAACTGAATCACTGGAGGTTGTAGTCACGTGACATCACGGTGAAAATGACTTACTTTAATCAAACGGAAAATGTACATTTATCATCATCGTCGTCGTCGTCATCACGATCATCTGGCTGCCGAGCACCAACCAAATTTTGGTTCTTTGCAATTATCGGTAATGTCCAGAAATTATTACGATCCAGTTTAGGCTGAGGGTCTGTATGATTGGCCCTGACTGACAAGAAGTTCCGGATATGATTATGTTAGTGGATGGCCGGCTTTGTCGCACCTGAGGACTCGCCGCCCTTTAACAGGTCTTGTTTTTAATCCTGAGGGGTGTCCACTCACCCTTCTCACCAGGTGTAACCGGTGGAGGAGCCGGTTTAGTCGCCGACTTTCCGACCATGAACAGGTAGTACTGGTATAGATGTTAACCAATAGCGGCTCAACCCATTTGAACCGACCTGACCAACACCTTTCCACAACGGTTCGCGACGTCTACAAATCTGATGTATCTACAAAAATTTTTAGAAACAGGGTGTCGTCCCGAATATAAGCGTGGTTGTTCAGTTCTGTGAGCGAGCAGAACATAGGACAACCACTTGCGATGTTTGTCTCTCTCCTTGGTCGATGAAAAGATGAGCTGTTAGGATCAGGTCTGAAGGCATCGATCACGTGTTCAACATTATCTTGATCCAACAACATGAATGTGACCTTCTGTCTGAATGGCCAGCGGAGCAACGCATCATACTGACCGCGCATTATCACGAAAAACACAGAGATGTGTGTTCCTCGGCCCATGCCATCACCGTTTAAATATATGCGGGCGCACATCTTGTATCCATAGCGACTGGTGTAGAAGCAAGGGCTGTAGAATGATATTTGTTGACCGCTGACTGCCTCGTTTCTCCTGCGTGCAAACTCAGTTATTTTCCACAGCAACTGGCCATCGTAGCTTGAAAATTCCTGTTGCCTGATGTATTCCTCCAAATCAGCCAAGGTGACGTTTCTAAGAGCCAGTGTATGCTCAATAGACTCAATCCTCCTTTCCACCCTTCTGACGGTCTCCTGGACAGTCTCAACAAGTCGCCTTACATTACCCCCACATCCCGATTTGCCTGCTCGATTGAACGATTACTTTCAACCAACAGCACCTCGTGGTCCGCGGTCTTGTTCTCAAGATTGTTTACCCTTCGGGTAATCTCGATGTTCGGTACACTGCCAGCTGAATCACCAGTCACTTGAGCAGATGGGGCCGCTGCCGTGAGATTCCCTGTGGCCACTTTTCTTTCCAGGGAGGTGATTCGTTCGCTATGTTCTCGTATTCTTTCTCTTAAATCCCCGTTTTCTGCTGTACTGGATTGAATTTGAGCGAGTATGTCAGAAATGATACCGTCATAGTTTGTGAAGATATGTGGGCTTCTCGACAGGATTCTTGGATCACGAGTTAGCACCGCTTCCATTTCTCGACCCATCCTAAGACCATGATGAAGTAGCAAAGTGGTGTGATAAACATTCTCATTCTGCAGATGTTCTTTCTTTTGCATATGGCTGAGAATCTGTTATACAAGGAACAAGAATTTTGCTCTAAACAGACATGCAAATCTAATTGGGGACACTAGACATGTAACACTTGTTTAGGGTAATTGTACAATACACAACAAGGTCGGACAACCTTGTAACGAATTTGAAGAACGAGATATAGAAAACATGTTTTTTATACAATGACCTGTAGATAAATTAAGAAAAATGGTTTATTTTAAAACCTGATAGTTAATGTGAAAAATTCTACCATATTCCTCTTATTTCATGTATACAAGGTGTTTGTCGCGTAACGATAAACCCAACGTACAATGACCTTGCCTACCATGAGTAGTCTTGCCTTATACAGCAGATGGCATTTCCGACCGGCAGAGTTTTAGTCAGGATATTACAAAGTGAACGTATCGTGGCCAAGGGTGCCACCTCTTAGAACTTCTGATGGAATGCCCCCCAATAAGAAAACTTTGCAAATATTAAGCGCCTTAAGTTAACTCACCAGTTCTAAAACAAAGATGGATAAAATCAATTTTTGTCGAAAAACTTAAATGAAAATCAAATGCTAACGTGCCTAAAACCCTACCAACAAGTTTCTTGGACGTAACGGGTTCGTATCCTGCTGATAATATATAGAATTAACCACGACTAAAGGCGAAGCTCTTGTTAATACGCTTACAGTTAGCTCAAAACAAAAGATAAAATCGTTTAATGCTAAAAGGGCGAAGGCAACGAGAACGGCAAAAAGAAAATCCATAGGTCTAATTAGCACGTGCACCCCATTTTTTTGTACATTTCTTTGCCGTTGCTTTGCACGACAACAACGTGAAACTTCCTAGTAACACGTTTTATGGAGTTCAATGTCGTATGTGCTTACAAAAAAATTTTGTTGCCTGTGTTCTTGTTCGCTTTTTTCTTCACTTCCGCCCATTTTCACCCTGCCGGTAGCCAGCATTTCTCATTTTCTAACCGCCATGTTATTCTAGTAAAGAAATTCGATGCCTTTTCTTTTTTTTTTTATCTCTCGCTCTAGTTCTTTCTCTGTTATCCACAACAGTAAGGACATAATTATTATTTAGTCGCAAAAAAGACTCGGCTTTGTTGCTTTTTTTTTCTCTAAATGTACGGGTGGCCATGCGATTTACCGCCAAAGCTCGCTGGTGCTTGAATGCGAAATTTCACCCCGACATACATTTAGGGGGTGGACGGACGTCGGACGGTCACATGATTATCAAAATTTCTCACAAGTTTAGGTTACCATTTCTTGGGAATTCTGCACTATAAAGCTCTAACCTTACAATAATCCAGGAAAGATATCCACTGATTGCAGGGTAGAAATGAGTTGAATGATGGATCACCTCATCGTCCCTTATCCTGTCCACCCTTTTTTCCCCTCGCTTTCTATTTTCTCAAAGGAAACGGGCAAGTACGTGACAACCAGCAAGTGATTCAAGCGCGAAACGCGACATTGCAGGAAGCCGGAGGTAAGAGTGGGGGCACCGCTCTGCTAACTTCTAGTTGTTAGGATGAAGGCGATGTACTAGTTTGGTTTAAGAATCCAAGTAAATACTTTTTAGTATTGTATTGCTTTTGCTTCCGATTGAGCCAAGTGTTTATTTTATTCCGCGCGCTCAATGGATAAACATTCGAGAACAGCGAGGGATGTAAACAGTCCACAATTTCGGTGCTTTGGTACTCTTCAAGAGTAAAGCTTACAGATCCTGAAAACACTGAAAGAGAGGAAAACTTATAATTGTACCTGGGTTCTTGAGCAGCCAATTTGCGCGAATGGACATGGCCCCTGAACTGCATCACAGTCTCCTACAACTTGATCCTGATGGTCTAGCAGCTGAAACATTAATAGAGAGGAGTCAATGAGAAAACAAAGAAACAAGAGTCATGAGTGCACCGTAAGTCCTTCAAAATATCCTATTTAAATAGCTATAACTAGTGTTGTCTTCGTCGTACACAGTTCCATTAAATTAACGACAGACTATCAACATAATCCTCTCTTGGGTGGGTGGCAATGGGCTTTTCAGATTTGCAGTTTGCGCAAATTTCTACGTATTCTCTTCAACTTCACCTACCTTTTGGCACGACACTCAACCAGTCCTGGTGGAAACAAGTTTGCAGATAAGAACTTTGTACAAGTGCAGTATGATAGATTAAGTAGTATTTATACCTACGTTTACCATACCACACTAATAAGGCGTTCAGAGTCAAGACAGAAAATAAATTAAGTAATAGACTCCCCCTAGCTTCTGATCATAAAAATTACGTCAGAGTTCAGTTGAACCAGTTGAAAAAAAAAAAACATGTACCCCAACTGTACCTTTGCACGTGGAATTCCATCTTTGTTACATTTATCACATACAACTGGGTATGCTGGACACTCCTTCTCATGGTGCACCTGTAGCATATACATGTATATTAATTAACTACTTATAAATACAAGCACGAATGTTTGTCTTTGCTTTGTTTTGGTTTTATTTGTTTGGTTGGTTAGGTTGGTTGCTTTTTTGGAAATTTTAATATCTCGCACTCTCATTTTGAGATTTATAAAAAATTGGCTTTATCTTCTTTAAGCCGAGTGAGCGATACAAATAGAATGACGAGACACCGGCATCCCAAACTCACTAAGAGAACACTTGGCAATAAATTCAACTCTCAGGAACGCAACGATTTGTAGAGTTCACATGGCAAACAATCCTTACCTTTGTTGTGAAAAAAGGAATTAAAATGAATTTACTTGTGCCAAATTTTGCGTTCTTAGTTTTACCATTCTGTCTTAACAGATTCATTAAAAGATAAAGCAGGTTTTCAACTGGAACAAGCCCAGATTGCTTTAAAACGACATGAAAACTTTAATATAAGCACAAGTACACTGCACTAATGATAATTTGATTTCTTTTCTCCACAATAAGCTAACTTAAGGCGAATTTGTTTTCTTTTTATTTTTGCTTATTTTATATATGAACCCTATAAATCGTTGCGTTATGCAATAACAGCTTAACTTGTATTTTACCATAAATTATTTCCAGTTAGAATTGATTTTCAAAACACTTTGCTTTCCAGACAAGACCGTCACAATGTTCAAAAGTTGGTTTTATAGAGTGATTCCTGAATAAATCTCTACCCATTTGATAACGCATTGTTTACCTAACAGTACTCTACACTTACACCGACTTACTGGGTAGAGATTTAACCAGCACAAATGAAGGCCTGGCAATGAAAACAACCAACCCACATATCCTTTTTTTTTTTTCAAGTCAAGTTGACATTCCACATTGCTATCAGGCTGTACATTTCATTTCTTTTTAATCATAATGTTAGAATTAACCCATCTGCTGCTGAAAATTTTTGCCGAAAAATGCTCAGTTTTTGATCGGTCGACCTGTATTCCGGCTAAAAAAAAAACAAAAACGCCAAAAAAGCTGTTTATAAGTTGAGTAACTCACGGCCTTCTTTTTCTGATGCTAAATAGCATCTTTCAAAGTACCGTATTTCCTCGATTCAAGGCCGTCCTCTATTAAACGCCACACGGATGGAAGCGTTTATTCCAGGATTATAATAATAAAACAACTTTAAATCTTGGTGGTACAATTCTATCTCAGCAAAATAAGCACAACGTTAGAACTTTAAATTACGTTTAAACATTTCCAGATGATTTACAGTAACTGTTGTCAGTGATTTAAAAAATGCAATTTCGAAATAAACGCCGCCCTTGAATAAACACCACAGGGGTGAAACTGGGCCTGGGTAATGGAAATTTCTACGCAAAAATTAATATTCATCTAGATGTTTACAACTGTGTTACAGCTAGAAACTTTAAGAATACAAACTGTATAGCTGTAGTTGTGTGTACTTATTGTGCTATGCATAAATACCTTCATTTTGTTCAGGCTGATTTGCTTTTTGCAGAAATCACAGGTTTCCGGTTTACACTTGCACTCTGTTTCCAGGTGCTGAGAAAGATCAGCTTTTTTCACCAACATGCCACACTCAGGATGTACACAGGGAAGTTTCACAAACTCACAGCTACTAGTATGACTCTGTAAAAAAACAAAGAGAATTTTAAAAGAAATAATACAAAAAAGGCCTTTAAATGTTTAGCACTAGTACACAAAACAGCAATTTTACTTGAGATTACTTTCACCCTCAGACTCAAAAGGTAAATGTATGAGAGCCAACAAACATAACTCCATCATTTAAAATGGGAGTGACATGGACACTTTAGAGATCAACTCATCAGTTGATATCAGAACAAAACCTTGCTTTCACTACGAGTAGACCAACACAACACGTCTTGCACAGAAACTGATCCATTAGTTTTCTGTAAAGAAGTAATTTTAACGCTTTAAGGTGTATAATCGCATACTCACAGTCCAGCTAAAGTCTCTCCTAATTGGCAGTTTTGACTAAATTTTGATCTTAATAATCCTCCTGCCCTCCCATTGCTAAAATGTTATGGGCTATCCTCTGCCTAACTTTGCAAGGTTTTACAAAACATGTATTTCTAGTTAATTTTGTATTAACATGTGTACATGAAGTCTTGGCAAAAACTGGTTGATGTCATATAACAGCAACTAAAATCCTGTATATGTAAAACCAACAAATACCCAGGACTGTGCTCTAGCAGAGCCTGGTGGCCCCTGGCACCTTACTTTTCCTCTTGGGCGACTAGAAAATCTCTTGTGCTGGGCACCCCGAATTTTAAAGATTTAGAGCACTGGGCTCCCTTCAATTTTCCTTAGAGCACAGCCTTTCTTGATACCTCCAAATGCCTGACTTCCCCTTTCCACTGGCATCCATCATCCATGAATGTGCAGTTGACAACAAACGCTTGTACTTCACGACGCATGAAATTATCAGGAAAAACCTAAAAACATGATATCAAAAAAATTAAGAATTGATCAACCCTGTGTCAGCTACTTTAACTGTATTATAGCTTTGAACATATATAGCTGACTCTTGGTTTTCTGCCAACAACTATTAGAGTTAATGGCCTTTCACAGAATTATATTCAGTTTCCCCTAAAACTAAGGTCTCATGAAAATGTTATTTTACAACTCTATTACAATAAAATCAGAATAATAGTAACAATGATGAATTATAACAATTACCTCATTTGGAAGAAGTTCCACCTGATCCTGTGAGCACGTCATCACGGATGTTCCATTCCTACATGTAAGTAAATGAGACCAAGTTTTTGTGCACGGCTAAAACTTAAACATTTTTTTAATACTGTAAAAAGAGTAGAAAAATACATTTTGTTTTGTGGTTAAAACCTTTTTTTAATTAAAGGCGCGGTTGCTTAATTATTACAACATGTTATTATAACTTCTGTGTTAATAGATAATTACCATGCATGCTTAAACTACATGAAATAACAGAGGAAATGGTTCAAATTTTCAAAATATCACTTTTTCAGAATACTGCAGTTAATGCTGATTGTACTACGTAAAATTTGCAGTCCTTTGTGGTTAATGTTTGACTGAATATTTGCATATTTACCTCCTTAATCAGGCTAAGTAATTACTGATTATTTGGACATTGCCCAAATAGAGTAATTGAGATTGCCTTTTTGATTCAAAGTTGCAGTAGGCATGCAATACATCCGAACGTAAAATACCAAGTAAGCAAGCCAAGTGATGTGAATGTCTGCCACACAAACGACTCATACAAGGTGCGTGCTGGAAAGAAAGCTCTGCTAGCAGGGTACTTGATTTCACCTTTACCATCTCAAAACTCTTGCAACAAAGAAACATGAAACACAATTCCCAACAGTGCAGGACAAAGAAATAGCGATGAACATGTTAAAGCAACGCCTCCTGAGTCTGGACCATATATACTCGGCACACATCCCTATTATTTTTAATACACATAAAAAACTTCACATATGCATATAGTACAATGATGCCCAAATATATGTTCCCGCAGCATCTTGTTACCATATTTATAATAATTAAAGAAAACAGAGAATTGAACAAAGGATTAAAATAATATTGAACCCTGCCAGCTGCTAGCTTAACTTTTTTAGTTTGCATGACATTATGACCCAAAAATAAAATGAAACATGGGATAAATGCTGTAAAGATATCTGCACATTTCTCTTTTTCATTATATTAGTCTAGTCAGCAGAGGTCAAATTCTTCATATGCCGCGTTGTCTGCCTGTATATTGTTAACAGACAAATGAGATGTCCTAGAAATAAGCATTATGGTAATTATAACAGTATAAACACTAAGCAGTACACTGTAAATTGGATTATGCTGTCTGTTTGAGTAAATGATCATAATGTATAATATATAAAAATTATGCAGTCTGACAAAACATCAATGTAAAATTTTTTATTATGACATAAGATCTGCAAAAAAAAAAAGTACACACTCTCTCAGAAATGATCCTCATCACTTTCTTTTCAATATACAAAACTCTGTTCCAATACTAAGTCAATCTGAAGAGAAGATCGATGAAGATTCAATTGGCATTCACATATCGATTTAATCACTCAAAAATAGTAATTAAGGTATTATGATAACATACATACATGTCTACTCTGTGACCTGTCTGACTTTAATACATACTGCTTTCAAAATAACTGCAGTCGATTTGCTTCTTGTGGGGCCAATAACTGAAAGATGCCAGACAGTACATCATGCAAAAAAGGCAAACAATTTAAACAAAAAAACACCAGGAGGGAAATACACTCAGCATTTAATGGCTTTCTACAATCAAAGACTACAGTGTACATGCATCTAAAATGTATATTGGCAAAGCTTTTTCTAACGAAAAAAAGTAAATTATTCTTAGATGCCTCAAGCTAAAGTTGCAATCACATAAGAGCAGTAAAGTAAAGTTCACAAAACTTGTTGTGAATGGCCTCAAGGCCTCACATTATGTTGAACTACTCATGCAGACTCTTCGCTATTTACATATAGGAGCTCATAGAACACTGGTCATGAAAACAATTTACGCTTACAAAGCTGTGACAGTTCCACAAAAACATATTATGCAGGTCTTATAACATCATCAGGTGTCATGCAGCAAACAATTACCCTAGTATCGAAATGGTCTAATAAAACTGTATAATATTTAATCAACATTTTAATTTTATGAAACTCAGGCATAAAAATATCTTGCAAAAATAAGTAAAAACACGTAGCTTCAAACTTAACAAAAGACTGGTTAAACAGACAGTTAATATACAGCATGCCATAATCTCAAGGACTAGTTAAATTAAAACTACTTTAAACAAGGCCTGGAATCAAGTTACTCAATTACCCAGTATCATTAATGAAACTTTTTATGATAGGTTAGCAGTGGGTAATTAACTTTCAGAACCAAACCCTTACCAAAATTAGAGCACTGATAGTATACTTTTTGTAGACAAATAGTATACACCGTATGTATTACATTGCCATGGTGTACATTTTTAGTATACATCAAATATACATCAAGCAAGATTTGGCTTAGCAAAAAAAAATGATGTATACTCTTTGTATACATCACTTGCATTTAAGTAGCAATGATGTATACAACAAGTATACCTCAGGACTTTAAAGCAGCAATGACGTATACAACAAGTATACCTCAAGGCCTTCAAACAGCACTGATGTGTACAATAAGTATACATCAGTGCTGCATTGATGCCAAGTTGTATAAAAAACATCTTCATTGATTAGGAAGTAAAGCTTTGATGTATACTTTTTGTATACTTTGTATAGCATAAACAGTTTATATATAACAACATATAAATATATAGTATATGTTGTAGTTCAACTTTTCCCTGGTTTAAATTTCACATACATTACCATGCCCAAACAAAAGAAAAATTAAATTAAAGCAGGAACAAAAGTAGAAAAACAACACATATGTTGATTGAATTGAAGGGTTACCAAAAATAATTTCAGTGAAACAAACTCTAGAATACTGTTTTACATGTACCTGATTAGAGAATCTCTGAGAAATTCCAAATGCTGATGAAAGGAATACGTTTGAACAACAAGAACAGGACAAACAAGACATATCTCTAATAGATCTGTAAAACTGCAGTAATTTAAAAATTATATATTTCGCTCTTTGCAACTCATCACTCACTGGCCAATGCTTATAAAATAATATTGTCCATTGTTCATGTAAGAATTAGCATTGTGAGAAATTCAGCAACAACATCAACATTTTTGGGACTGATATGTCATACACAATCTTCGTTAAGGGGGGTCAATGTCATGCAATTTCGAAAGATACACAACATTATTTTGCTATAATAAAAACATTAAAAGAAGCTAGTTTTAATAAAAAAATTATGTTTACGTGCCCTGACAGGAAAAGATGGCAGCTTTTAATAAATGGCACACATTTTCTTTTCTCTCTCAAAATTCACTTGAAACCTACCCATTCGTGTTGCAGGATCATAATTTTGCATGTTACATGTATCTGTGACGGTGCTCTGATGGTGCTACCATGCACTTACAGTTGCAAAAAACCACTCAAACGCTTTAGTCTTTTTTTTCGTACTGATTAGGAAACATTCCCACAAAGGGAGTATTGTCATTACCACAGTCAACAAAAAAGCATAATCGAATAATGTTGTCCACTGGAATTGCAGTGATACAATTATTGTCACTCCTGATGACTGGAACCAGGTGAGAAACAGCAGTACCAGTGTAGGGATCATTAGCAATTGCTAAAGTCTTGTTAGGTTTCAGAACTTTGACCAATGCATAAAACAGTGGCTTCCTACATTTACATGAGTTAGCACAAAATGAAGGGTTGGGGCAATGTAAATATATTTTGGAATAGAACAAAATCTGTCCAAATGAAGGTGGTGAATCCCCACTGTTGCCTTTAAATTCTATTGTAAAGTTGTTTCTCCTTGTCATGCTTTTGTATAACTTGGAGTGAATAGTTGTTGCTCTCAATGAGTAATCTGAAAAACTGATACACTTCTTGAACTGGCCCAATTAGGGATTCGACTACAGCTCGCTCAACAGCAGTAAAGACATAATTTTGTAAGTTGCCCACGATGCTGCAGTTGCTGTTGCCTGGAAGTTTTTCCTTTTTGGAAGCAAGGGGCGCTTTCTTGAAAGGTGTTCATAAAGTTCTTGAGCCATAGATCCACTTTCGAGGAGAGGAACCAACTCAGGTATTCTCTGTTGCACACTGACAGCTGTCACAATCTGTTCTTCCACACTTTGTGTACCATGAAATAAGCTTCTTAATTCCCCATTGAAGTCTTCAAAGCAAAAACAAGAGTGAGTCCACAGTGGACCAAGATCTCTCACTCTTTCTGTCATGTGAAGTAAACAGTGCACATTAAAAGTTTCATAGCGGGCTGCATAAAGTTCCTTTATCCTGATACAGAAATGCTTTATTAAAGCAGAGGCCTTTACAATGTCATTCGGAGAGATAGAATCCTGGAGAAGAAGGTAAATGGCTTCCACAAGGTGAAGGTAGTGCTGAAAGTACTCTTCTGGAAGAATACCATACAGACATGGAACAGAGTAGAACAACAGGAAAGTCCTTAACTCAGATGCTTTGAGATGCCCAAAGTTTGCTATCAGGCTTCTGGGAAGGCGTGATGCAAGAAGGAGGACTAATCTTTAGGTACCTCTCTTCAATTTCTTTCATTCTTTTACAGACAGACCATGGCTCTGCTTTATATGTCTTGTCACTCCAAAGGGTAAGCAACATCTTAACCACGCCAAGTAATGTACTGTGCATATAGTCAATGGCTATTCCTCTAATGATGTCAAACTTTGGAATAAACATAAACCATGAATAGCCTTTAACCCCTTTAACACTACTTGGGATGCCCTTTTGAGCACTTTCCTTGGTAGCTTCAGCTGCAAACTTTAATGTCTGTTCATGTGTTCTTGGTTCCCCATGACCAGTTCTGAGATTTGCTTCATCAAATGGGTAAGCATGAGTGTGCCCTTTGCTACTTGTCTGCACAGTTTTGCCAGGGCTCAGGCAGTATGGGCAACCATAAAAGGCATTGAATTGACAAAACTCTTGGAAAAGGCACTTTGCTGGGGCATCAAATGTCCCTAAGAGTAAAATACAGCGAAGCAACATGTTCTTGCCATTCAGCTTTACATCAATCCCTATAAAAAGGATCAAAAAAAATCCTGACTATTCAGATGTTGACCCATAGGGTAGAAATGAGGGCAGCAGAATTTCTATAGACTTCAAAGTTAATTGATAACAGATAACACATCAAAGCATTTTGAAATTCATACATACATGTAGCTGCTAAATAATGATTGAAAATAATTTTCAATAATTTAAAGCACACATTTGTATCTACATGTATTATGCCAAATCTCCTTTAGTCAGAGTTGTAAGTTAAACCTGTGTATAACGGTCACCCTTGGGAAATGGCCAAGTGGCGTTATATACAGGTTCTCTTTAAACTCTACTGGAAGTTAATGAATAGCATCTAAGTCTAAAGGGTGACTGCATCCGTTCAAGACACTAACAGGTGACCACTATATACAGGTCACCTTTACAGAAAATATAAAGCAAAGTTTTAGGGAAGTTGTCCGGTGAGTCACTCTATAGTGACTCAATTTCCTTTTCCCCCCTTTGTAAATTATATATAGTTCGGGGAGTAATAATTATGTCAAACAGCAACAGTTGTACAATGTATTTATTATGAACATTCTGAACTAATAGTATACTAGAGAGTAGCTGTGACTACAGTGTGCATATATGTACATTAGAATGTAGCAGATAAATGCATGCTTTAAGGTAATACAAAAATGGGGACTGATTTTAAAAACATAAACCTTACCTTTGAAGAATAAATCATTTAGTGAGTTTTACGAATGGCTGCATAAATGTTTGGAAATGTGGCTTGGAGACACCGAACCAAAGCCCAGCAAACATGCGGTACTTTCTCTGCTGCCTGTAGGGACAGAAAATAAAGGGAAAGAATGAAGTTTTTAACAAAAAAAAAAATGAATATGTTTTTTAATGAGAAAAAAAAAAGCAAAAAGTCCATTTCAAGATAGGTCAGTTACCAAGCAAAGAATGAGTTACAAACAATTCTTACTAGTTAGCAATTCTGCAAATTATCAGTGCTCATTATGATGTGTTGCAGTTAGATTAAGTGATACTCTTCTCTCACAATTTCTTTTCTCTTATTGGTTATTAACTGTGGAATTTTCTCTTTGGTAGTGGCATCATGAAGGCAAGTAGATGCTTAAACTGTGTACTTCAGTTCCACAATTAATTTATTTACATGACTATACTTTACAACCATTGTTATTTTGGTTACTTTGGTTTGACATTCTTTAATCAATACTTCAAAAAAAAAAAAGAAATTATATATTATTTAGCAATACTATAGAAATGAAATACTCGGCTGGGGGGAGGAGGTTTGAAGCTGTTTAAAACGCTTACAGCACATGTTTAATCAAGGGTAAAAATTCAAGCTTTTATTACATACCTGCAATTTGGAGGCAATTGTTGACAATAAAATAAACCGCCATATGGAAAATTTTGAAGACCTAAAAATTGCAACTCCATCCGTGTTTATTTGCAGGGACAAATGGATCTGTGTCTTTTTGTCCTGTGTGGATGAACCCCTAAAAAATCCGTCCTCCCCCAAAGTGCTTCTTATACAGTTGTCCATCAAAGATATCTTCAATGGCATCTGAGTTTTGTTTTTGTCTTGTGACACGATACTGCAGAAAATCAGGTACTTCTGGCCCTAAGAAACAAAACAAATATTTGAAAACAATACATAAGAGTGAGAAAATAAATTTCACACAGAGGTTCTGTTTGACTGAGGCAAATGATAATATTTCCTGAATACATGTACATGTAACAAGACTGCAAAAAATCTTTTTCATTTAAATCTTGGAATTTTTCCTATTATTGATCACGAACTGCTAATGTTAACTGTCAATGCATTAACAAGTGATAACAACCAGTTACATATGTAACATTGTTTCAGTTTGATGAATGGTTAAAATACATGTATTGAGTGAATGCTTTAAGGCCTCTACAGACTAGATATTTAGTTGTCAAAAAACGTTTTTTTTTTTTTTTTTTTTTGACAATGACAATGTTTAAATTGTCAACAACAGCAAAATTTAGCATTTAGTTGTCAACAACCCGTCTTACACACTGCGTTTTTTTGTTGTTGATAACATTTAGTTGTCGAAAACAAAACGTTGTCGACAACTAAATTTCTAGTCAGTGGAGGCCCTTACAGTCACTTCATTCCATCAAAAGAGCCTGGGAAAACATGAAGTACAAAGAAAAGAAAAAGTGCACGATTCTTACACCGAGGTAAACCCAAAAGAACGAGAAATCCTTTGATGTGGGGCATTATTTAGTGACAGGGGATACTTAACATGGTAGTGGATAAAGATAATGAGAAATTCTTTGTTATTTAGTATCATTTAGTAACAGGTGGGACATCTACTTAGAACGAACTGACTTGGAAGGAAGTGACCTGATACCAAAGGAATGATCTATACCTTAGCAGATAATCTACTTACTTGACAGCAATGACTGAAGCTGTGTGACTAAGGGTAGGACAATGAAGTAGGCCAGTGCACCTTTTTTGGAAAAATCTACCAGACAATACTTGTTAGAACAGCAGGAGGTCTTTGTAAGCCCAATGTACTCAAAACAGCAACAACAATAATAGTGGTACTCGATAGGCTTCTTAAGCTTTCGAAAGAATCGGTTGAGAACAGCTGTCGATTTAGCAAAGCAGTTGGGTACAACAAGATGAATGTTAATTAACGTCAAAAGGTCAGCCAAAGCCAGTCCGCTCAAATTATGCCTTATGGCGAAGCTAATAATCAGCAGCAAGCTAACTGAAAAAGTAACGGGGGACCCCTCGTATAAAGGGGTGTCTTGTGATAAGGATAGCTCAGTAATTTTCACGTAGTCATCTTGAGTGCTGCTTTCATTCCTATCTTCCGCTTCCGAAAGTTCATCCACGTCATTATCTTGCTCGTTCAAATCCTCATGAAACTCGCTAGATCCGTACGTTGTATCAAGCGCTGGATCTTCAGGAAAAACTTGCGAAATTTCATCACAGCTGTCTTGCTCAACTGCCGTGTTGTTCAGGAGCCCCTTTAACATTTCATCAGCGATGGAGTCTCTAGTTGGGCGGCCTTCTCTGTCATTTTCTACCTCAGCTGGCCGACCATCTTCTTTCAACAAATCAACATTATTACGGTCTTCCAGAGAGTATTCTTCGATCCCCTGAGATGCATATGAGTAGTCCAGGAACTCTGACTCAAAATGTTCAACAGTGTCGCTACAAGATACCGCATTCGTTTCTCTATCATAAGTTTTAGCTAGTTTCTGGCGATACTCTGACGTTCTGGGAACTTTCAACGACGGATGTGACAGATAAGACAGGTAAGTACCTCTTCTTTTTCACAACTTCTAGAGTTACGTGTTTCTTTTGCATTTCCAGTCGCCATGTTGTGTTCGTATAAAAGCCGATCGACCCAGGCAGATATTACGCATGCTCAATACGTCGGCGTCTGTTTGTTTTCCTTTTGGCGGGATTTTTGCGGCACGTTTGTCGGTGTATGTGTTAGATCTTGGCGCGAAACTTCAGTAGCTGTGAAACGTGAATTGCTTGGTTCATCAGACTCTTTTTTTCGACTGAACGTTTATTGTCGCTTCCCCTTTTCGGGCAATCCAGTATCCAGGAAAATGGTGAGTACATTAAACTGTATAAAAAAACCTGAAAAACCCTAATCAGGTCACGTTTTAGTTCGTTTTTAATAGCAATTATGGTGATAGGTAAGCTCAACGGTTCTACTTAAATCGGTGAGAAAAAATGGTAAAAGTTTACCTTCTTCATTCAGGTCGAATGCAGCGTTCAAGCCAGGGAATTGTTCTCTTAGAACTTCTTTGATACATTCGCAGCGTAAAATTCATTTTATCTTTGTGTCTGCGAACTGGAACTGATACAACTCGATCGGGCTCAGCTCAAATAAGAACGCGACAATAAATGCTCATCCTCGGTGTAAAAACCTGTAAAGTTTTTCTTCGTTTTCTAGCTATTGTTTTCCTTGGCTCTATTGTGTTGACTTCTCAGTGGCTCCTTTGTATTCATTGTTTTACGTCACTCGTGAGTTTCACAGGTTTTTACACCGAGGTAAACCCCAATAAATACTTAAGCTTATAAGCTTCCAGTGTAAAAGACTTGAGAAACTATTAATTTTCAGTAGTCATTTTTAATTCTAAAAGAGCGTCCTGTAGTTAAGGATATTTAAAGGGAAAAATACTAACAGAGGACGAACTGAAACGTTTTAGACTTTTTACTGGCTTTCTCGCAGTCGACCGGCTTGTCACAAGTCGATCACGACCCGATATGACTTTCACAGCATCGGGAGTAGAAGCGTGATCATTTGAATCTTGACATCCATGGTTCCTGTCGTTTTCTTTTAACCTCAGTGATTTATAATTTCTGCAAATATGTTCTTCCACGTTCATGACTCGCATTTCAATTTTGTCATTGATTTCAGTCTTTTTATGAAAAGGCTTTGATATATTCACCACTGGTCACCAACAGAAACTATAAGTAACGCCTGATTGAACAACCGCTCATGTGTTTCTGTCACCGATTAATAACTAACTTTCTTTAGTATAACTAACTCACAACTTTTTTACTACTTGTTAATCGTTCTCGGCGAGGGCAAAATTGATATTGCGAACGTTAACCAAAATATATACCCTTATATATCCCTGACGATTGCGTCGAAGTAGTACAGTTCCTTGAAATAATGACTTTGGTGAGTGTTCTAAAATTTTTGTGCCCCCTTTAAAACATGTTTGAAATTAACAAGCATCAACGCTGTATTACCTTGACTGCCGGCATGGGTAACAGGGACTGTGAACGGAGACCGGGCCGCCATTTCTTGTATTTCTTGGATCAAAAGTAACTAACCGGGAAGGTAGTTTCCCATACATGTGCACATATTCCTGTGAGCTTCAGGCTCAGGTTTTTGTTATTCATGATTCCAAACAAAAAAATGGGACCCACGACTGGTGTCTCAGATTACCAAAACTATTAAATGTGTGTGCTTTTCTCTGACATCGAAAGAGCAAATTTGTTTACATTGTGCTAGAATACTTTCATAACTTTTTTAACTACCCCTTGTAGGTGAAACCAAATGGCTTTTGCAGTAGTTGAATGGAATCGACCAAATGGAAGAAGTGAATTGGAAGCGATTATTGTGAAGAAGTTAGCTGTCAAGGAAAGTGTAAGAGCTGGGGCCATTGCTGAAATGCAATATGATGGAGAAATTTGGAGGGGAAAAATTCTCTCTCTCCATGGTAAGACTAATAGTTCAAGTGATTTAAGCTGTCATGAGCATGTACTTGTGCATCTGTCAGAACTCTGGACCACATAAGAAAAAAAAACTTACTGATAATGATAATAAATATACATTTACAGTTGTAAAGTGATGACTGTTATTTTGCCTCTGCATGAATGACTGCTAAGAGGGGTAAAGAAATCGTTCTTTCTCACACACAAAAAAGAGTCCTAACCCTTTTTTATTAACTGGCCTTTTTCAGACAGTATGAGTGATGCTAGAAGTGTTTTAGACAAGGAGCTTGGAAATTCTGGAACAGAAGAAAACAGTTCAAACTGTGAACAGAATTCATCCCCAGTAAGAAGCAGAGAAAGAGAACAAAGAATAAACGACTTGATGGATATGAAACCAGTCAAGGTACAGTAAGCTGTTATTTGACACTAACAGCATATAATGGTTTAAAGTCACCGCGAAAAAAGGAACTACATGTAAGTGTTATAAAAAACTAGTCACTGAGGACATTATTGAAGGTGGTTGCTCCTTGTTCCCTTAAATTTCAATTTACAGAGGTAGATAATAAAATAATAATTATCAAAGTTCTAAAAACATTTAACCTGTATAACCGCCCTGTATATAGCGGTCACCCTGTGTATTACGGTCACCGGACAGGTTCCCAAATATTAATTTAGCCGTATATTTGTCTGTGTAGTGGACCTGTATAATGGTTACCTGGCCATTTCCCAAGGGTGACTGTCATAAACAGGCTTGGCTGTATTTTGTTACAGCTACTACAAATTCATTGTTTTTGGGAGACTCAATTATTCAGACCTTTTTCTTATACATTATTATTTTATCCTGTTATTTCTTAAAGATGATGAACCTTCCAAAAAAAAACCCAAGACCTCTGAGGGCAGAAAGAAAGCTGGAGGAAGCAAAGAAAATGACAGTGAAAGTCAAAATAGGAAGAAAAATGCCCGAAAAGATCATGATGATGCAGCAGAAAAGGAGCGAAAGCGAATTGAAAAGGAGCAGGCAAATAAGCAAAGAGAAAAGGAACGGCAGGCCCTTACTGAGCGAAATAACATGTTGCTAGAAAGGATGACTGCTTTGGTGAGTAATCAAAGTGCAGAAGATCCCTTTGATTCCGATGTTGTCTCAGAGTGTGTGGATCTCACAACTTCATCAACACCACCATCAAATCCTGTTCATCGCCTTTCAGAACACAGTAAATGAGTTACGGAGTGCCACACCAGAAAGAGTGTTGTCAATCTCACAGCTTCAAAAGACACTGGACATGCTGCAGGGCAATTCAGAGGACCCACCAACCACACCATCTATTTGTCAGACAGCAATTCCATCACTGCAGAGAACCTCTCTGACCACACTGCAGGATGTGGGGAAGAACCAGTATCCACAACACCAGTTCAGCAGATGCCAAATTCCACCACACCAGTGTCAAGATCTCCTCTGACAACTCTGCGTGGCAGATTAACAGAAGTGCCACTGTCAATACCAAATCAACAGAAAGAAGCCACCATTTCAGGAGCACAAAGAACCCCACTGACAAACACACCCAGAAATTTTCCAAACAGAAGACAAGACTTAGTAGCCAGACCAACTGTGGGTGGTAAATGCCCCAGACGAGTTCTACCACAGCCGCTCTCAAGTTCAGATGAAGAAGAGTATTGTCCATCATGCGTAACACGCAAAAAAGAGAGTGAGGGAACTTGAAGATCAATTAAAGAGCTTGCAAGGTCAAGGTATGTATGAGGAAGTTTATGTGATAATCCCTGAAAATTAAAGAATGAGAGTTAAAAGAAAACAAGCAGTCTTGTTGTGAATAAAAGAAATAAGGGGTATTAGAAAAAGGGATGCACATAATCCAGTTAGTCTGCTTGGGGGCACCCTTTTTTGGTGGTGGATCGATCGATCCACTGTCTGGTCTTTGTCCACTAATTACAGTAAACACCTGCATATAAGAACCTACTTTTTTGAAGTCTGGCAAAATAGGTTCATGTATTTTGGGGTACGTATTGCCAATTTAGGCTAAGTAGGTTCTTAATTTTTATGAAGGAGATAATTGATCATTGAGTACCAGAAAAATAAATGAACTCGGTTAAATATGCAGTATTTATTCGTAACTATTATAACCTAACAAAACTATATAATTACATGCAAGGTGAACTTTCGATCTTGTTAATAACTATAGTCATTCCTATCATTATTTTTAAGTTTCTGATCCTCCAAGACCTGGAAAGATCAGTCCCATTCTAGCAGAACGCTTTTAAGGTAAGCACTTCATTCACCATTTTAATCACAGAATGTGCATGCTATTGTAGACAAATCAGTGTAAAGTTTTTGTGCAAATCATGTAGTCGTCAATGGCTAATTTGATGTTTGCAAGAGGTTCGACCCTACTAGACCTAGTCAGGCTTACAGTTTAACCCATTTGCTCCCAGATAATATGCAGCAGAAAACCACTCTTTCGAGCCATTTAAGACCTTTTCTGGTTCTTACCAGGCTGAAAAGGATCTACAATGTAGATGTGAACTACCCGAAAGACATACTAACAATTCAAGTACAATGCTGATAGTTTCTGATGCTAAATTTTAGCATTGAAGTTCAGGCATCAGGTAAAAAGTTCACTGCCTCCACGACTGTTTTTTTTTTTTCCCTCGTCCTCACCTCTTGCTTTCCTTGCCCTTTTTTTTTTTTACTTTTGTGGGGCATTTCCTTGGGCTAGTCCCTGCAAGCCACAACTTGCCCAAAGGGTAAACTGTAAGCTGACTTTCTTTACACGCCCTTGTTATGTGTCAAAGTTGTCAATGTCTTTTGAGCATTTGAAATGTGACATGCGGCAGAACATGTGGAATTATTATACAGGCTGTTCAGGTGTGTATGTCTATATAAAATTGCTATCATAAAAATAACATGGCTGTTTTTTTCTTAATTCCAACAGATGGTAGAGTTGACTCCTGTTTCTCAAGTTTTTGTGTACCAGAACCATATTCACCAAGCAATGGCCAGAGCGTCAGATAAGTCAGCGGCATCGTTTTTGTTAAACTGTTTTTACACAAACGACGAGCTGGTGGGGATGAACCTGACTGGAGCAAATGGAAAGAAATGCCCAGACAAGGAGATACTTCAAAGCATTATAGGTATGTGTGCAATAACATGATGACTATGTAAATTAATAGTCTCTCAGAAACTGCTTTTTTTTAATTTTCCCATCCATAAATTCACTACTCATGTTGTAATGATTTTTGACCCTCTTTACAGGATTTGTCATGAGAGAATACCAAAAGCATTCGCCAACTGCGTCCTCTCTGAAGCTGGCTTTAAGAAACAAGCTGAGTGCTTTGGAATCAAGAAAGTTAAAGAAGGATGAGTGAAAAGCTTAATTTTTTTTCTTCTGTAATATAATTATGTACGCAGAAAAAGTTAATGTTGTGACAGATAAGTAGTTGGCCTGATTCAGATTACTAATTTCATTGCAAGTTTGTTAGGGCATTCGGTTATTGTCCTTTTTCAGCAAGCAGTCTTTGGGTTTGAAATAATTATGAAAAAATATTTATTAAATGTTAAGTACAATATATAAGCTATTTCTACAGTGAAAATAATATTGTGTTTTAAAAATTATTGACATACTGTACGTCTGTTACTGTTAAAAAAGCTCCAAATAAAATTTATTGTTACAAGCAAATATTGAACATTTTTTAGTGAATTTATGTAGAGCCAGGGTGGTCATGCATGCCTTTGTCCTTACTGAAATTTATGGGTTTCAGCAACTTAATTTAGAAGTGTACAAATTGTATACTTTTTGCAAGTGTTATACAAAAAGTATACTTTTTGTGGTCTTTTCTGTGTATGAAGCATGTAAACCATTAGTATACATCCTCTTGGAGAGGTATACTTTTTGTATACATCGGGGTGTTCCAAATTACTAGTACAAAAAGTATACATCAAGTGTATACAAAATGTATACATCAAGTATACCTAAAGTATACCCAGTGCAGTATACTTCATGTATGTTCGGAGTATATTATAAGTATATTTCATTTTGTTAAGGGAATACTTAACTTAGACAGCATCTGACATTTTTTTTTTCCTTGTGTTACTTTCATTGGAATAAGTAAAGCTAAGGTTTTGTAATGCAAAAATAACTCGGATAACATTGAAAAATATCTCGGTGTCAGGCAAATAGTTTAAATTGTCTTCCTAATTAAAATTTCTACTAGCTACAGTGCCTTTTCATCCTCTCGTCATAGGCAGTAAAAGTTCAAGTAGTACTAATAATGGACTGAAATTTTCACCCGAACTGCTTGCAGACCTTGTTAAATGATCATCTTGCATCTTCTAATAGAAATTTTATTGCCTTGGTAAGGCAAATTCTTAGATCAACTCTAAATTTTCGAATTCGTTTGCTGAATAAAAGCGCTGAAGACTCATTTGTACAGGGTAAGCCTAGACTTGAGGTAAAATATTCACAAATACTGGCGAAAAGGTGACTGAATTTGAGTTTAAAACAATAGACACAGTTGAAAACAGGTCTTATTTTCTTCTGATTGGAATTTATGAATATAATTACCTTAGGTTGAGGCTAAACCAGTGTATAGTCTTCAGTGATTGTATATTCAACAGCCACGACAAATTCAATAGTGGACAATAATAAGGGAAAATAACCAAACATGACACCAAGAAGTGGGTTGTAAAAAGAGGCAGCAGCCTATCAGCTTTTCAAGACTACCCTCGAGATGTCTGGATATTGGATGACACACTGAGTGGAGTAGTTTACCATAAAGCTTCTCAAATGAAACATACTGGTAAATCTTGAAGAAATTCAAAGCTAAAGTTTGCAAAATTTTAGGGTATCGAAACCATGCCATGGTAGTGATTTCCTCTCTTTCTTTTAATAAATAAAAATTACTAAGAGGTGTGTGGAAAACAAATCAACATTTGATTTAGCTGAAATTAAAGCAAGACCCTCACCGTTATCTCAACTGCCTGCAGGTAGCAGGAAATTAATTCTACTACATAAACCTTAACTTGCCCTTCCTAAAATATGCTGAATTTGATTGATATTGTTTTGATGTTACAAGTACATTGTGTTTTTAGTATTTCAAGTATTATATCCTATACACAGTAACATCTCTTAAGTCAAACCACTTAAAAATGGATATATTCTTATTTTCAACTGCCCATTAAAACTTTGCTAGCATTAAGTGATGAATCTCCTACACAAACAGTATAACATTGATACACAGTACATTGTATGGCCCTGTCCTCTAAGCCCCGAACTGACATGTTTGCCACATCTGCTACATCACAGATCACGCATCGATCTACACAAGGTGGGAGCTGTATTTACAGCCACACATATCCAGCCTGGCTATTTAGAAACTTAATGGCAATGATATTAATAAGTAATGTATTTTTCTGAAACATACATGTACATGAAGTAATCAAAAAGGCCATATAAAAAGTAAAGTATTTTTTGTAAAGACGTCTAGACATGCAATTAACGGTCTCACTGTAAAGTGCGATGTTTAGCATGTCTGTCTTTAAATCACTAATACTAGAAATCATGCTATTAGATGGTTTAAACAACTGAGATTACCAAGACATCTGTACAGTGCATCCAACAGATGCACACAATAATTTCAATGCTTTATTTTTTCTGCAGATGTCGACATATCTGTCTGATGTGTATTTACAGAAACTAGCATGACCACAATTACGTTAAGTATCTGACTGATTATAAACACGTCTGCTGCAATTCTATATATCAATGCTGACGTCAGTACAAAAATTACCAATCCTCACAAAGATGCCATGAAGCTCTCAGAATGAGCTGTTCTAATTGGGTAAAGAAACAATAGATGAATGAGCCAAACAATGCCTCCTTAGAGCCCTAAAAACAATAGGTTTGGTTTTGAAGGCCAATGATAATAGGGTTTCTGAGAGCTTCTGGCTACGTCACAGAGGTGATGGGAACACATCTCTACTGTTAACTACTGTAGGTGTCTATAAGGAACAACTTTAAACATCTTAAATCCCAAATTGTGCTACATAACCCTTTTCTGCCTTTGTATTGTGGTCTAACTCAGGTATACCAAGTAACAGGTTTTATATCAAAAAACAAAACACTGAGCTCCATGTGCAACAGCGGAATGCAGTTTTAGGTAGGTTTTATTACTTTTAAATGAACACAAATGTACTTTCTTTGGTGCCGGAGCTTTACTTCATCACCAGTCAGGTGGAGAGAAGTGGACACTTTCTTATACTCACAGAGATAAACTTCGAAGACATGAACTGCAATAAAAGTGCCCACATCCAGTTTGCATCGCATCTCGTAGTACTAAATGGCAAGAGTTACATTTGTACTTTTCTCCAATACACTGCTGATCTGAGCTGGATAATGCATAACCAGGCATCGTGGATGAGATAAAAACCGGGGGAAGTAATTTCTTGGATGTTTTATAAGTCGAACACAGTGGAAAACTGGAGTGAAAAGAGGGACAAAATAAGACATGTCAAAAAGTTTTACCAGTGAACATTTAAATTTAGACTGTTCACAGTCCCCTATTTTTTCGTGAGATCGTCGAGATAGTATAGCGCCAATGGCGGTCATCTTGATTAGTTTTGACGCCCATGCAAGATGGCAGCGCGTATATAGCTCGACGTCGCCGATCTTACGGAAAAATAGATCACTGTAAACTGTCTAATTCAAAGTGTTTCCCATATACCTCTTTTAAGAATACAGCATAAGCTTACTAAGCTTGAAATTTTCGAAGTTTAGCACAAATTGTTCAAAAAATGATTGTGTAGCACTTTTTAGCGCATCGAGCGTACAAACTACTGCTACGCCACTTGTGGCACAGTTAGCCCAACCTCGAACCTATCGTTTCTGTAACCTACGAAAATGAAAGGATTTGAATTAAAAACAGCATACCTTACTTAAAGGGAGAGACGTCACACACATTTTAAGTAAGGTAAGCTGTTTTTTATTGAAATCCTTTCATTTTCGTCTGTTTAGGTTTTTTTACCCCGCCGATGTTCGCAGGTGCTCAAATTTTTAACTTGGGCTACCTGTGCTTATAGCCTGCGTGGCTGCGTGGCAGTTAGTCTCCCTCGCAGCCGTTTTTAGTATCGTCACGCAACGCTCCTCCCTAAAAACGGCTGCGAGGGAGACTACGTGGCAGTTAGCTATAGCCTAGATAACATCGAGTGAAGCCAGATTGGACACCTTATGAATTTTACACAACGCATTATTTTCATAATGGCACGAGACCGGAATGTAGATTGAGGCTAGAATAGCTGAAGAAACCAAAACTACAGAGTGCCAGTAATGGAGAGAACACAGTAGAGAGTTAAGCACTGATCTGCAGTGATTAGGGTTAAGCACTGAACTGAAAACGGTTAGCTTTCAAATATTGTAATGGGGTACGGCATATATAAGAGCATGTATATTTTAAAAATTACTGGATTTGGCAGCTAGTCCTCGATGGTTAGTGGATATGGATGTAGGCTATAAAGCAAGTGACCCGGGTTCAAGTTCAAGTTCAAGTTCAAGTTCATTTATTCACATTTATTCAATTACAATACAACAACAATAAGGAAAAAAAGAAGAAATAAAAAAAAAAAACAGAGCTAACTATACATCGAATTAAACATAACAAAGGAAAAGAGTGTGTAGCAGCCAAAGGAGCCAAGCCTTCGAGTTGGCTACTACCACATAGCGGTTACAAGCGGGTGGAGGTTATACAGTACACGTGTTTAACTCTCCACCCGCCATCTTGGTTGTCACGCATCAAAGCATTCAAAGCATCACAGTGGAGTTTTTCTCTTTCACTTTTGTATTACACAGTAAAGTTGGACTTAAGTTATTCTTCATGTAATTTTACTGAAAGAAACAATCTGACTTCAGCCGATGTTACCTAATGCTAACCCCCTGGCAGGGCTAGCCTGCGTAGCAGGCGTCGAAAGGGGTAGGGGGTAGGGGATAAGGAGGAAGGGAAAAAGGGGAGGGGGATTGGGGAGAGGGGGAGGGGACGCCTGCTCTAAGAACCCCCTTTTGTTCATATCTGCGGACGCTGGCGTCCGCAAATTCCTGATTGGCTGAGCCGTAATGAGTAGCATATTGAAATGCGCGTTTCACAAATCAACAAACAGTCGAGATGGCAGCGGTAGACGTGGATGTCGTAGAGAGTGCTTTGGGAGATGTGAATTTATCTAGTGGTAGAGAAACTGTTTTAAAACCAGAGCAAGAATCAGCAGTAAGGGCTCTTTTAGCCGACAGAGATGTTCTGGCGGTTTTGCAGACCGGATATGGCAAGAGTTTAATTTACCATATGTTTGTACGCGTGAAGAACTACGAGCTAAATGGTAATGCGGCGATTAGCTCGTCATTTCGCCACTGAAAAGTATTATCGAAGACCAGTTGCAGGAGATGGAATTGTTGGGCTACCCAGCTGGGTATATTATGCTCTGGAAGGTTCTGCATTTATACTGGGCAAATATTATTTTAGCCGCATGTTTCACACTGAGAGGTCATGACATACATATCGATTGACTGTAGTTATTGTTTTCTGGTCGGCAGGATTTGCCTTCTGATGCAAGCGCAATTTCTTTGACCTCTTCTGAAGCGTAAAGTTTTTTTTATTACGGCTGCATAAGGGTTCCAATTTTCTCCAAAGTGCCTTCTGGATCTGAATAACTAAGCGAATTTCTTTAGTCCGTGAGTGTAATGTTTTTCTGCAATGGCGAGTGTAGCGACACTTGATTGACAGTAAGCGTAATCGGATTACTAGAAAATTGGTAGGCGTTATGCAAAAAACATAGGCTCTTAGAGCAGGCGCTCCCTTCCCTTTTACCTTTCTCCCTCCCCCCTCCCCTTCCCCTTTTTGCGCCTGCCACGCAGGCTATGGCAGGGCCGCCAACTGAAACGCTTGGATCGGATCGGACTGGTATTTTCTCTTTTAGTGCACAAGAATTATTTTGAGAAAAGCTGTTTTTAATAATGACACAGGTGGCTCGGAATAAGAAATCCGAGTTCTCACAACAGGAGTCTAACCTATGACTAGTCACGACACGTTTGGACTAGTAACCGGTTCGAGTCGGATTTTTTCTTCAGAGCCGCCTGTGTCACTAATAAAAAAAAACAAAATCGAACCTGCTTGTGCAATTAAAACTGTGAAACCAACCAAATGTTTTTGCGCGCGAGAGGAGAAGCGGCTTTGCGAACTATAACGACCCCCCTCACCAACCGTTTCAGTGACCAAAGGTCCCTTTTTAGTTTTTCCCGCTTGAGAATCACCAGGAAGAAGTAGGAACACTAAAGTGCAAATAGTAAAACTAATAGACTGTGAACAGTCCCCTATTTTTTCGTGAGATCGTCAAGATAGTATAGCGCGTCTTCCCGTTAATGGCAGCCATCTTGATTTTCAAATGTAAGGAGGGGGCGGGCGTCGGGGACTCATGCAAGATGGCAGCCCGTAACGCAAAGCGCTCGATGTCGACGATCTTACAGGAAAATAGAGGACTGTGAACAGTCTACGCAGAAGTCCAAGAATCAATCATCGAGTATCCTTTCTGGAATGAATACTCTTCCACCTTTCCTTACATATCTCCCTTCAATACCCAATAAGTACGAAAAGCCATATCACTTCACAAAAATGCCCTATGTTGCTTCACCTGCACTGCCACTGCTCGTACAATCTCGTCACCAGGCACTTTTACCCTCTACAGTCGACTCCCGTTATTACGGACACCCTCGGGGAGAAGATTTAGTGTCCGTAATAGCGGCGGGGTGCGAGAGAAAACAAATTGTTTTCTCTTTAAACTTATGAAATAATATGTAATTGTCCCCGAGAAGCATTTTAGTTTCGACAATTCTTTCGATTACTTCTTTTAATTATAGACCATAAAAGATTAAAGATAGTAAGATTGTAAATAGATCTAAATATGCTGTATTATCACTTCCAAACTCCTGCAATGACGATGGATGCATAAGAAAGGGCTTAAAAAACCAAACGGAAACTCCTCCAGGAACGTGAATGGCTAAAATGTTAACTTGCTGTCAAATATAATGTTTTTTATTATTCTCGGTGCTCTTTTATCGCAGAAATGCTGCACAGTATACTCATAACAGAAACCTGTCTAACAAACCTCGTTACCTCCAAAGCCAGGGAAAGGCGCCCTGGGAGGGCCACTTCAAAAGCCAGGGAAAAGCGCTCTGAGGACGAGGTTGCTGTCTAACGACTTTTACAGTAGAGTGCTAAAGTAACGCAAAATGCATATGTTTGTAAGCTCTAATAGCATTGTCTTTTCTCCCTTTGTTTTCTCTTTTGCAAAGAAGCGGTCTATAGTACTTTGTTTCCTTTATTGTAACGTCGCTTTATTCTTAATGTTATGTAAGTCAGGATTTTTGACGAAGTACTCAAATGTCCGCTAAAGCGAGAGAAAAAAGAAGTGAAATGTCGCGCTTTGGTGGGAAGGAAAGCGTCCGCATTTTCGTAATAGCGAGAGTCCGTAATAGGAGGAGTTTGTTTCAGTCATTTCTTTATGCGTTTCGCCGGGGGGCTGGCTCTTGTCCGCGTTAGCGGGGTGCACGTTTCCGTAATAGCGAGGTGTCCGCAAGGCGAAAGTCGACTGTATTATGCATCCGTCAATTCCGGCTGTGCCCAGCACCCCCCCCACCCCCTCAGACTACTGCGGGGCATTTGCCCGCCTTGTCAGTCCCGGGGGTGGGGCATTTGCAGATTTTGTACTGCATGAGGGCCGGGCATTTGTCAACCCCGAGTCCATTAGCGAGCTTCTGACACACACGCAGTTTCCTATCAGAATATATCTACACAGAAGGTTTTACTGGAAAAAAAGCAGATTGGCTCACCTGTCAAGGACAGGAATAAATATTGAAGAGGGTTGTAAAGGCCAACCTCGTTCCCAGGGTTCTCTCCCCGCCCTACGGAGCGGGTAGGAGAGGAGGACGGGGCATTTGCCCTCTTTTTTCGTCCCCACCCAAGGGCATTTGACAGCTAAAGAGTTCCCACCCCCGCGAATTTGCCATCCAAGGCAAACAAAATGATAATGCCCGGGGGTCAGCCCGGAGGGGGCGGGGGGGGGGGCTGGGCGCAGCTGGAATCGAATTGACTGATGCATTACCTCAGAGACCCTGGGAACGACATTAATCGTTTTCGCTTACATAGAGTGATTACTCGACATGGCCGCCGATAAAACAAAACCTTACACGTTACAAGTTCTGTGAAACAGCAATGAACTGGATTACTCAACAATTTTACAAAGATGAACTGTAGCTTTTGTATTCAGCTTCTAAACATAATTCAAACAACAACTTCAAAAGGGGCCCTTGGCGATCTTATTTTAATATGTTGTTAACAATTTGACGATTGTTCGCCATTTCTGCCATTTTCGCCAAAATCGCCACTTCCACTTCCTTTACCAGCTCAATTGATATGTTGTTAAGGAACATTTGCGCATAAATCAGATTCAATAACGAGTTTTGCATTTTAATCAACATTCAATAACATTTTTGGGCATTCATTTGCCTCATTCGACATACAAAAGAGAAAAATATACTTTCATTAACGCCAACATTCCAGTCATTAACATTATCTTGAAAATCATTAGGGACAATAGAGAAACATTTAAGTGCAAACGCTATTCATTAACATTTTTATGACACTGTTTGCAATTCAATAGCATTCCTGGACAGCTTTAGAATGGATAAGACAAACATTAATGCGTACAATATACAATATACACCTTTTGCTGATCATTTAGGCGAAAAAGATATTCATTTTCGCGAAGTGTAGAATCAATAAGGCGAATATACATTCTATAACACCAAGAAGCACTTCATTAACGCCACGGAACATTCAAGAGCGCAA